CTGTTCTTCAGGTCCTGGACCTTTCTGGTCAGGCCGTCCATTATTTTATTAGTTGACTCTACCAGTATTTGGACACAACACTTGAAGCTATTTTCATGTTGGTTGTAGAACTATTTTTGTTCGTTTAAAAGATCCTTCACCTGTGATAGAGAGACACCACTGTCCTCAACTGTACTCCCACCGTTCTTTGGTCTTTGTCATGGTAGCTAGCAATGTAGGTTACGCTGTTACTCCTCACAGTTCCAGACAGGGCAGGTCACAGGGAAGATGGAAACAGCAACAAACAGCAGTGACCTAGACAGTCACAAGCCCGGGACAACCCGTGGTCCCAGCCACAAGGACTAACTGCGTCGCGGGCTGCGTTCAAGCCCTCAAGGAAACCCCGCTAGCTTGATAGGCAGCTAGGCTAGCTGCTATGCCAAGCAGCTCATCAGAGCCCTTGGTCGGCAGGATCCCTGGACCAATAGCAGCAGTCCCAGAAACTGATGCCAACCGCATCGCGGGATCCAAACTCAAAAAAGGTAGCTAACTGGAAAGAGCTGCAGCGTTTTGAACTGTGAATCAAGTAATTTCTGACTGAGACAGGTAGGTATAGAAAGAGTTACAGTAATCCAGGCATGAGGAAATAAAAGCATGTATATGTTTCTCCAGATCAGTGACTGAGATAAGACTTGACTTTAGCTATATTTCTTAGATTATAAAAACAGGACTGGACAACCTTTTTTTTTACATGCAGCTCAAGGTTTAGGTCAGGGTCAAAGAAGACAGCAAGGTTTCTGCCTGTAGGCTTTACATTTGTGGACAAATGACCAAGGTTATCTATCATCTGAGTTCTAGCCAGGTGGGGGTCAAATACAACCTCAGATGTTTTATCATTGAGGTGGAGAAAATTGTCAGACATCCAACATTTTATGTCAGCAAGACACTTGTGAAGGGTAGCTATACTAGCTTGGTCACTGTCTGATTGGTAAATAGAGCTTCATGTCATCCGCATAGCAGTGAAACTGAATGTTATGATTGCAGATGTCACCAAGGGGAAGAATATACAGGGAAAAAAGGATGGGGCCCAGAATTGACCCGAGGTACACCGTAGGGCCCGATTCAGACTTCACGCCTTTTGTATGCATGTCTTTCCTATGCAATTCTCAGTAGTTGGTATTCAGACTTACCTTATGCAGGTGTGGTTCCCTTGCGCACACTTAATACATTTAATTCAAACACTGAAAAGCCTCCCACTTGCTGGCCAAGAGATTTTCTAGTGGAGTTTTCATTCAATAGGGTTTTCAGTATATTTATCTAAAGCCATCCCTTTAAATTTGGTGTACCTTTCATTTATATTTTCTCGACAGACTCACTACAATATTTTGAGAAAAGGGTTCAGAATATAAGGGATCAATTAAAGAAAGCCATGTATTGTAAATACACCCATGTTAGTCTCCCTTTCAGCACCAATTGGTAGATTTAAAAATACTCTGTTGTAGTACATTATTTAGGGTTAGGAAAGTATATATGAATAATTTAAAAAAACAGGTTTGGAGAGCCTTTACGCATGAAATATATTGGTGAATCAAAAATACAGTGGTTTGATTCATCCTGAAAGTTGCCATATTCATTGGTTCAATATTGGAGGAGAGAAAAGCGTACAATATGGCTTGAACACTAGTCCTATAAATCTACACTAATAATCCTCACTAATCATGAACTGTGATGACAACTGTCCAGTCGTCAGGTAACCGTGCGCCAGGCTCAAGACTTAAACTGCTATGTATGGTCTGCGTTTCATATAGGTTACATGTCCCATATTATTGCACTTGTAATACGTTAGCCTAATGATCCACTATTGCTAGCGATCCTCAGGAACATGGAGGAAAGAAAGGTCAACTAACAATGGAATGGAATGATGCAAAATGTAAGGAAACTAACACTAAAGTGACAGTTGTAAATGTATGTAGGGTATAACTGACGGTGGCTACCGATAGTGCAGTGTTAATTTTGGCACTATTTTTATTTGTTTAGTGTAGTCTTAGTAATTTTGACTAAAATATAATTAACGCGTAGTCACATTTTAGTCTAGTTATTGTCAAAATGACGAAAACAGTGGGCCATTTTAGTCACATGACATTTGTATTGCCTCATTAACCTACAGTACATTCGGAAAGTATTCAGACCTTCACTTTTCCCACATTTTGTTAAGTTACAGCCTTATTCTAAAATAGATTAAATAGTTTTTTTTCCCCATCAATCTACACACAATACCCCATAACGACAAAGCAAAAACAGGTTTTTAGAATTTTTTGCAAATGTATTAAAAATAAGAAACTGAAATATAACATTTACATAAGTGTTCACACCCTTTACTCAGTACTTTGTTGAAACACCTTTGGTAGCGATTACAGCCTCGAGTCTTCTTGGGTATGATGCTACAAGCTTGGCACACCTGTATTTGGGAAGTTTCTCCCATTCTTCTCTGCAGATCCTCTCAAGCTCTGTCAGGTTGGATGGGGAGTGTCACAGCACAGCTATTTTCAGGTCTCTCCAGAGATGTTTGATCGGGTTCAAGTCCGGGCTCTGGGTGGGCCACCCAAGGACATTCAGAGACTTGTCCCGAAGCCACTCCTGCGTTGTCTTGGCTGTGTGCTTAGGGTCGTTGTCCTGTTGGAAGGTGAACCTTCGCCCCAGTCTGAGGTCCTGAGCAGGTTTTCATCAAGGATCTCTCTGTACTTTGCTTTGTTCATCTTTCCCTCGATCCTGACTATTCTCCCTGCTGCTGAAAAACATCTCCACAGCATGATGCTGCCACCACCATGCTTCACCGTAGGGATGGTGCCAGGTTTCCTCCAGACGTGACGCTTGGCATTCAGGCCAAAGAGTTCAATCTTGGTTTCATCAGACCAGAGAATCTGGTTTCTCATGGTCTGAGAGTCCTTTAGGTGTCTTTTAGTGAGGAGTGGCTTCCGTCTGGCCACTCCACCATAAAGGCCTGATTGGTGGAGTGCTGCAGAGATGGTTGTCCTTCTGCAAGGTTCTCCCATCTCCTCAGAGGAATAGTGACCATCGGGTTTTTGGTCACCTCCCTGATCAAGGCCCTTCTCCCCTGATTGCTCAGTTTGGCCGGGCAGCCAGCTCTAGGAAGAGTCTTGGTGGTTCAAAACTTGTTCCATTTAAGAATGATGGAGGCCACTGTGCTCTTGGGGACCTTCAATGCTGCAGAAATGTTTTGGTACCCTTCCCCAGATCTGTGCCTCAATCCTGTCTCGGAGCTCTACGGACAATTCCTTCAACCTCATGGCTTGTTTTTTGCTCTGACATGCACTGTCAACTGTGAGACCTTATATAGACAGGTGTGTGCCTTTCCAAATGATGTCCAATCAATTGAATTTACCACAGGTGGACTCCAATCAAGTTGTAGAAACAGCTCAAGGATGATCAATGGAAACAGGATGCACCGGAGCTCAATTTCGAGTCTCATACGTTTTCAGATCCTTTGCTAACTAAGGTATTTCTAAAACCTGCTTTTGCTTTGTCATTATGGGGTATTGTGTGTAGATTGATGAGAATTTTTATTTATTTAATCCATTTTAGAATAAGGCTGTAAAAGGGAAGGGGTCTGAATACTTTCTGAATGCACTGCATATGAAGTAGTTCTAAAATTCCAGACGAAAAAATTAATTGGAACCATTAGCGGGTTTTATGATGCGTCCACTGTAGGTGCTATTGGTGCTGGGAATGATACTGAACCACCCATGCTCACGGAGAAACATCTGCCACAAAGATAGGACCTGAACCAGTTGAGGACAACGCCAGATTCCCACCCACCTTTCCAGCCGGTCAACAAGGTTGTTATGATCAAGGGTCAAATGCAGCACTGCGATCCAAAACAACTAGATAGAGCATTCACCGGCAGCCAACATAAGGTCATTACTAGCTAGGTTTCCATCCAATTGGTGACAGATTTAAAATGCAAATAGCTATTGGGAAAATGCGCATATGGCGTTTCCACCTAATGGACTTGTTGCAGATAAAAATCAGTGCGTGATGAGGTAGTGCACACGAACATTTATTTTTCGCTCAAATTTAAAATGTGCCGAATAAAACACCAAAAGTTAAGTGTTTCCATCGTATTTTCAACTACAAAAACTGTTAAATAGCTAAATGTGCCTACTCCGGTTTTGGCAAGTGAGCTCAAACCAACCACAGCTCGCAGATACAGTGCGGTTAGGATGTGCAATTAGGCTTGTCTACATGTGATTATTATAATAGCGAAAATATTTTTCTTTGTCAAACAGCAGTCAAGTATCGATCATGTCACCAGATAGACCCTCGATATTTATTGGAAAGGATCATCAAGCTCATCACCAACGCCGTGCACTTTCACTACCCTGTGAAAGCCATCATAATTTATTTCATCTGTAGCCTAATAAACTGCATGGTTTCCCGAGTGGTAGTGGGAGGCCCACACACACACACCATTTCATCACGTGACTCAAAGTTTACTTCGATATGTTTTATTATAGCAATATTTGAGCATTTTTACGTTTCCACCGCCATTTCTCGCATAACATTTTACCAACACAAAAAGATCCCACAATGTCAAGCGAACAAATTATCGGCATTTATGAAATTGTAACGAAACTTCCTGTTTCCATCAAAGCCGTCGTGATTTTTCTTTGTACAGTATGATGACTTCAGGCTACCTGCATAAAAACCGAGGATGGAAACGTGGTTACAATAAAGCAGTTTCCGTGCTGTGAAGTGAGCGGAAGGCCGACTGGAATTTTTAAGTTGTGCATTCTCAAATGAGTCACCATTGCTTGAAGACCACTTTCTAAAATCCTGGATTTAAAAAAGTTGAGTAACCCCTCATCTGCAATTGATCTCTCATGCAGTTGGTGTTCGATAAAACAAACAAACACAGGATTTTCGTTATGTTATATAAATTCAGCCATTTGACAAGTATTTCCGTATTTAGGTTACAAATAGACACATTTGTTCCATTTCAAGAAACCATACAATTTTTTTATTTGTTCATGTCATATTCTATAAGTTCAAAAAAAAGATTAAAAAAAGACATACCCAACATAAATTCCCACTGCATTCTGGGACAATACAAAATAAACTCAGACACAACAAAGGAAAGCATGAACACTCAAACACATCTAATCACCCTCTTTCTAGTGCCTTTCCTCAGCCAGCCCTTTCCCACTCAGTCACACACACACCTCAAACCTGGGCAGTAACAGAAATGTGCATAGTGTGCACACACAGAAATCGATACAGATACAATAAGACCATATCAGGATGAGTCTCGAGCTGTATATACAAACACCCTTTCAAGGGCACAAGAGGTTTTACACATATTTTCTACCCTCTGTCTGCCTGTTCAACCCCATTGAAGCCATGTGGTTTTAGGCACACGATGGAACATTAAGAAGATCTGCAGCTGTAGGTTTAGCATCAGGCATCCTATAGCTGACATATGAAGATATTAACAGCGTTAACCACTCAGCTATTTAGAACATATTTCCTTATTAGTCAATGGACATTAGTATACTTTGAGACATCTTACATGTCTCCCTTTCAAGGGATAAGGGATAGAACTGTTTACCGGTTGGGTCACCACCTTTTTTCAATGAACTTCTTTGCCAGTGTTCATTGTTCTACATGGTGCAAAGAGCAACTACAGTTTCTATTATGATGTCCATGTGGATGCTAGTGTGGTCTTTAGATTTCTTTTTCAAGGGTTAAAAGCAATAAAATGGTACTGTTTAAAGAAAAATGGTCCACGGTCATAGAGCAAAGCTAAACTTTAAGGTAGAAATGGCACCCTCTGATGGGCAAAAAGGAAAACATGCAAAGGAAATGGGTCCTTTACACACTTTTAAAAAAATATTCCCATCATTGTTGGGGAGCCTTTGTACAAAACAAACACTTAATTACACACCTCTCAGTCAAACAAATGAATTTGCAAATTAACTCAGTCAAAGATTGCGCAGAAAATAAGCAAAATAAAATCAATCTAGACCCAAGAAGATGGAATGTAACATTTTAATCAATTTAAGACCATGTTTGAATAGGGAAAGGAATCCACTGAGTTGTAACCTAAATTGCATCTGCTTCATAGAAGTCAAAACCTGTGAATTTGTGAATTAGCATGGACCCATTTTTCAAAGTCAAGCAGAACTGTGAGGAGTTGCTCACACAGCACAGGGAAAAAGTTAAGATTGTACACCACCTACACACGTGCCTATGTTACAGAGCTCATCTTGACAAGAACTGCAGAAAACACTTATTCATGAAAGAAAGAACCCTGTATGTACGGATAATGTACGTCAGCTTTGATGTGCAATGAAGAGACAAGGTCAAAGAGCACTTGAAGCCCAGACCGTCAACGAATAATTGTTAATGATCAATTCGGTCAGAATCCACTCAATAATGCGAGCAAGAGTCATGCCTATTTCTCTACTAAGAATTCTCTCAATACTAATTCAAAATGTAGCGATCTTCTACACATGCCAGAGGGGACGTACCACTGATACACTTCAATGTCTGTCTACACAGCAGAAAAACTGGTTCTTGTTCTAAATGATTTACTGGGGGAAAAGCAACTCCAATCTAACAGGAGAAGTTGATGAAATACAGTAGTTTACATTGACAAGATTTACACAGAGGGGACTTCTGGCAATCTTTCCTCATGTTTCAGCCCCGCGTTTCCTTCAGTTAACGTAAAGGGTACCTCACATCTTTTAAGCGATGGTGATACAGGAATGAAGGTTCTAAATGCGTCCACTTCATTTCAAGGCATTCGCTTAGACTGTTAACCAGAATTGAGTGTTCATTACAGCACTGTGTGATACCTGCCTGACTGTGGTCCTCCACACAAATACATCAATAGCACCTCATTGAATCAGAAAGGCAGAGAGCTTTTGAGGTTCTCGTTCTGTTGTGAAGCAGGTGCACCGTGCTTATTTCTAAAAATTCACCTTCGCTCATGATGCCCAGACCAAAGCCCAATCTGAGTATGTAGACGTTGCAAACATCAACCATGACCTCATTAGTTACATATTATAACTGTTCTTATTTTAGTTTTCACAACGACAGCCTAAGGAATATATGTCTCTCGCAAATATATTGTTCCTCGCCCCATACAAACTCATATTTAATCTATGTAAATGTAAATGAAACAATTAATACAAGTGACCAAATATATTGTGACATTTTGCAGTCAGTCATCAAGGTGCTTACTTAGTGAGTTGTAGCATTCTCATAGCATTTGGTGTTGCCAGTGACTAGAATGAGTTCATGCAAGTGTCTACACAGATGCTCATGTGCATTAAAGTTATATACCCTGCAGTTCAGTACCCCACACGGCAATTGCCACTGTTAGACCGGCTGTGGTGGCCATATTGGAGAGGAATCACCTCTCGGTGGTCTCTCCTGTGGTGAAGCTTAGGTCATCAGAGATCAACTGGTCCCCTGGGAGGAAAGAAGAACAGAAGCATTTAAACAATCATAGCAATCATTCCCTTCCACAGTACTAGCAAACTGATTTGAGGCTAAATGTGTGTGGACAATGTGCAGAACTGGAACCCCACACTAGGGTATGTGTGTTTTTGTGTGAGGGGGTTACACAGCAGGTAACAATATTGACCTGCGCAGGGCAGTGCCTGGGCGTCATAGCGACAATCTCCAGCCTCCAGGGCCACCACCTCGTCCTCGTTCTCCGTGTCACAGTCGATCTCACTGTCACTGCTCATACCTGGCAGCAGTACCACTGTCCGCTTCTGGACAACATGACCTGACAGACAGAAAGATAGAGGGACACACAGGATAAGGGAAAACAGAATGACAGGGAGAGAGTGGGAGAGACAGGCAAACAGAAAAGGGAGAGAACAGCACATTGGTAAACAAACAGGTTGGGGGAGACAAAAATATCCTTATAGCGAAGTCTCACAGGTAAGGGGAACACCATCAGTGCCAAGAGCACACCTCTCATTCTGCACACAGTGCCAAGTAAACACCCACTCGCTCTCTCTACAGACACACTCATCCCAGAGTTCATTAGGAGTAATGCTGCAGGATAAACATCTTTTAAAAATACCCTTCTCAAAGAAGCTGTTAACTCTACCTGCAGTATGGTATTAGATTACAGTATATTCTATCCACTTAAGATGAAAAGTGGAGCTCAATCCTTAGTGCCATCACATCAGCAATCCTCCATAGAGGAGGGTGGAATGAGAGGTGGAGGACGGGAGGGGTGTAAGAGCAGTGAGGGCTCACCTTGGTTGGGGCATAAAGAGGGTTCCTCTGCCAGGGAGAGCAGTGACTGGCGGATCTCAGCCGTCTCCTCCGAGTCACAGTCCAGAGAGCTGTCCGTCAGCAGGCCGGCCCTGAGGGAGGGGAGGGGGAAGAGAGAGAGAGGAGGGTGTCAGTTTACACAATTCCCTTGTCACAAAGCCTCCTGCACAACATCACCTCAGATAATCCCCATGGCCACAGATGTGTCCACTGCCAAGACCTTTTCACACTGCTCCAAGAGTGGTCCATCAATGACTAAATGGCCATCCACACAAAATGCTGGACAGGAGGAAGGTAGATCTGCCACTCTTGTTTTAAGCACAAGTGAAATTGTATGATTTGAATAGACATGGGCATATTTTTCTTCATTTCTTTCTAAGGTATTGTTGAGATTTATGATTTGCATTCGTATCACCATTAGCTGTTAAAGAAGCAGCAGCTATTGTTCCTGGGGTTCACACAAAACTTGACAAAATACAGAACACTGATGGATAGGATCAGCAACATTTTGGCAAGAGAGAAAAAGTTAATAAATACACCACTCTAGTAGCTGGTTCATTCCAAACCTAAACAATTATTTTAGAGAAAGCTCACTCTCAGGCCTTCTTGGTCCACTGGGAGGACCAATTGTAATACTAAATAGGGTGCCACATAAATACCACTGAGTCTACTTAGCTATAACAGCAGCAGCAAATACTTTATTTTCACTTATCCAGCCTTCTTTTAAAACCCAGCCAAGGTTGGCACAGTAAAGTAATTTTAAAAAACAGTAGCACAAAACAAATATGACGCCAAAAAAGCAAATTGTTAAATTGGAGGCTTTGTCAGGAGCTAAACACTTGATAAAGGAATAATAACCAAAGTGTTGGTTTAAAGCGATCCATTAAAAGATTGTGGAGCAAACAGAAATGTTGTGTGAGGGAGTTTATTTTCTCAACTGTCAAGTACACTTTTCAATTATCAAGTGCCATTCTCCAAGCACCTGGACTGTATACATTTATTTTATTTTATTAAACGTAATAGAATTTCAATCCAATCACTTTGGATCTCCACAAATGCATAGGGGCTAGGGTTGGATTTGGATTTAGGACAGGGTGTTAGTTTTACCCCATGGGCTGGGTCCTGGGTCGTGTCATCGTGGCGGTCGAGATGCCGCTGAGGCACCCCAGAGCGTACAAGTCGGCCACGCAGAGCTGCTCCTGGTCGTGTTTGGAGCTGCAGGGTTTGTTTTCGGAGCAGGACGACGAGTTGCCCAGATAGGGAGGGGAGCTGTGGGCGCTGCGTGGCTTCAGGGCTCCTACAGTATGACACAGCACAGGGAAACACTGGTCAGTCAGAAGTCATCAGCTGACAATCATTCATTTGGGAACATAGGTGGAGCCATGGTGGTCTAAACACTGATAACCCCACCTCTACCTGGCTTTACTACTGACCCTCTGATCCATTGGAGGTGTCCCTGGGAAAGAGGCCTTGGTCGCTGGACAACTCTCCATCGCTCTGGCCTCTCAGCTCCTTCTCAACTAGGTCGGTGGCCCTCCTCAGGCCCAGCCCACTCCCCTCCTGCTTGTGAGATGAGGCCTTCTTCCCTCCTGCCACACAAACCACAGATAGATAAACATCTGACTGAGCAGTCGATAGCTCCCCAGCTGCCCGTCTAGAGTCTTCAAAAAGAGTTTGACAGTAGAACGTGCTGTACTGTGAAATGCTATCCAGTTCCACAGATTGTAGTGTGTGTGTGTACAGCAACACTCACCAGAGCGACAGTGTCTGGAGGCCCCAGGTCCTTTCCTTATCAGATCTAGCTCTGTGGGCTTCCTGCTGGGCCCTAGGTCTGAGTGGTAAGATGGCCCCTGCTCCACCCCTGTGGCCCCGCCGGAGGGCCCTGCCTTGGTCTCCCCCCGTGCTTCCAGCTGACACTTGACATCCGACATCTTACTGCGCACCTCGGCCATCTGTGCCTTGAGCCGAATCAGGACCCCCGAGTCTGGGGCTCCCCGCCGCACTGTCTGAGGCCTGCGCTCACCCCGCTCCTTCCTGGAGTGGACTTGGACTGGCAAGAGAGAGAGTAAAGCGAAGAATGAAAAGAGGAGATGACTAGATTAATTGGCTATTAGCGCTTGTCCTAATGTTTCCCAGAGAGGGAGTGACTGTGCCCTAGCTTGGCTACCCAGTACAAAGTAGGAGGCTGTGAAAGAGAGACCCTACCTTGGCTGTGCAGCAGGGAGGCAGGGGGTCTGGGCTGAAGGCCCCACAGTGACTCCACACTGCTGCGCTCCTTCAGGTCCAGTAGCTGGATGAGGATGACGGGGTCAATCTCCAGCAGATCTCCAGCCGAGGGGAGACCACTACGCCTCAGACACCTGGCCCCGGGGTTAGAGCTTCCTGGGAGAGTGGTAGAGTCAGAGGTACAATGGTGAGGAAGGAAGGGGAGACCAAAAGGTGAGCTATACTGGATAAGCTTCTATCTATTGAGTGTTGGAGAAGTAGTAAAGGGAGTCAACTGACACTTTGAATGAGTTTGGAATAGGGCATATTGAATACTGGTTGCAAAAGGAAATCTTTATCTAGGTTTAACACAGAGCGGAGCGCTATGGTTACTAAACAGCCCACGCTGCATCTCCATTTGAAGTTACAGTAGACATTTACATTTTAGTCATTTAGCAGACGCTCTTATCCAGAGCGACTTACAGTTAGTGAATAAATCTTTTTTTTTATATTGGCCCCCCGTGGGAATCGAACCCACAACCCTGGCGTTGCAAACGCCATGCTCTATCAACTGAGCTACATCCCTGCCGGCCATTCCCTCCCCTACCCTGGACGACGCTGGGCCAATTGTGCGCCGCCCATGAGTCTCCCGGTCGCGGCCGGCTGCGACAGAGCCTGGATTCGAACCAGGATCTCTAGTGGCACAGTTAGCACTGCGATGCAGTGCCTTAGACCACTGCGCCACTCAGGAGTACAGTAGACCCTCTTCAGAAAAGAGAACTCCTGCACCAAGATTCAATTCAACTCTCCAGCCATTTCACTACAGTATTAAATGAGTCAGCCGGCGCACAGCTACGAGAGCAGCAGAAAAATAATTACGGTCTGCATACAATGAGCATTTAAAAAAGGCGAGAGATTAGATTGGAAAAACCACAACTCTGTATGAGGCAGTGAGAGTAATGGCGGCGGGGACGATAATCCACTTTGCAGCCAATGTTTAATGAATACATTTGAATTTGAATAACCTCCCTGGCTAACCCACTATTAGGCATTCGGGCATGTAATAATGGATATTTTCCTTTGAGGAGAGTCAGATATGAAGTAAAAGAGACTATCAACATGTCCAAGTTTAAGGACGGCCCATACTGAGTTGCTAAAGTTGAAATCAATTACCAAAATACCGAAGAGTAACAGGACAAGACTTAGATCTGCCAAAGAAAGGTGCATCCTAAACCCTACGTAAATTAAAGTAAACTGTGACATGAATTACGTTCCTTCACTTCATACATGCAAATTTAAGCATCGTTATGCAGCCCTTTACACTCCCCTTTGGCTTAACATGCACACACACAGTTTAAACGTTCCACATCAGCACCCATGACATCCTCTTTAAGCCCCATCACACTAACACGCACACACTAGAGAGATCTGATGAGAGAAAAAAAAAGGTTCCGGAAAGAGAGAGACACAGAAAGTATGAGAGGGAGAACTAGGGAGAGAGGGTGAGAGAGAGAGAGAATGGGATGGAGAGAAAAGAGGGGAGGGAGATGTAAAAACAGATGAGGGAGTAGAGAGAGAAAGAGAGACAACCTGCTGCTCCTGCCACATCGTCAGGCAGTTCTCCCTCCTCCATCTCCAGGTTCCCACTGAACTCCACGTCATTCTCCCCAGACCTGAGAACCAGAGACCATCAACTTCAGGACTGGGAACAACATTGTTACAATGTCACGGTCAAACAAACACTAAAACTTTAGCTGACAGCCAACACTAAAGCTGACTCACGCCCAAACCACACCAAGACCGGGAAAAAAGCCTACCTATCATTTCAAATAGCCTAGCTGTCATTTAATTTGGTCAACTGAGTTTTAGTTGATTGAGTTTCTCAATTGGTTTCATTGGCCGATTCATTGTTACAAGACAGTGAGATGTGACCATTTGGGGACATGGACATTTTGTTCCGTCCATGGACCTCTATGGGTATAGATCCTGTGCACGTTCAAGTCAACCCCACTTAAGGAAAATTGAGTTCCTTGGCCAATACTAAGGCTGGGAGACAGCATTATGAGCCAACTAATAAATCAGCATCCGCAAGACCTTGGCTGGACCAGCAACTCTTAAATGAGAAAGTGGGTCCATGTCCAGGACTCCGTAAATCACAGAGGAGTGTTCCCTTACCAAAAAGCTTTTTAGGGTGATTAGACAGAAAGTGCTCTGTGTTGTAACAGACCAGCTAGTAGCTCTACTGATGAAATGGTTGGACCGTGCACTGCAATGTTCTCTCTGGAATGGTACAGCTTAATGATGAGTCGTGCTGTTATTTTAGCAGGGGCCCCATGGGATGTGCGTGCCCATTTGAGAGTGTGCAAGTAAGGGACTGTGTGCGTGTCCTTTGTGTGTTCGTATACCTCAGTCTGTAAGCTTGCCCTGTACACATTCCTTTAGGTATGCCCCGGCGGAGAACAGGGGATAAAAGGGGAAACATAGCAGCCCTTGCTATTGTATCAGCCCCTAGTACAACATGAGTCAGAGATATCCAGCAGAGCTTTTCTCACTCAGCGTATTTATAGACGTTGGAACGACACATCCCAGAGCATCTGGGAGGAGAAAAAGCCCTACCAGCCCTACAGCTGGGAGGAGAAAAAGCCCTACCAGCCCTACAGCTGAGAGGAGAAAAAGCCCTACCAGCCCTACAGCTGAGAGGAGAAAAAGCCCTACAGCTGAGAGAGACAGCAAGCGAGAGATCGGGAAGTGCCTTGTGGGCGGAGAGGGGGATGACACTTGACTGTGGTTTCCCCCCACAGGGCCTGAGAGGATCCTTGTTAAAAGCAAACATGGAGCACTAACATGGATTTATTTAAGTGTTTCAGGAGAGGCATGGAGATTGGACAATGTGTGTGCGTACAGGTCTGTATGAAGACATGGGAAGCCCTTCTGTGAGTGTTTATGCATACAGTAAATGTGTGATAATGTCTATGTATGTGTGCAAGTGTGTGTGTGTGTGTGTGTGTGTGTGTGTGTGTGTGTGTGTGTGTGTGCGCGCGTGCGCGTGTGTGTGGAAGGAGCTGGTGAGCCTCGTGTTGGTTTTTTACCCTCAGCCAGCTAGGCAGTATGAGGAGCAATGATGACTCATGGATGGCTCATCTGGAGAGCTCACAATGAGGGGGTGGAGGGGAGAGAGAGAGAGAGAGAGCGAGAGCAAACATGCGAGGCTGATGCTCCAGCTAGTGCTGCACTCCACTCTCAGCCTCTCTGGTCGCAGGGGTTTGAAAACACATAAATTAGGTCTGCATACACTAGTCATATCAAAACTACACATTTTCTAAGTAGCACAACCCGGGTGGGGATGAGTGGGTGGGGGGGGGCAGAGGGAGTCTAACTGAATTGTACTGATCGGATGCAGATATAATATAATTTAATTTCTGCATTCCCCCCCCCCCCCCCAAAACGAGAGAGTTCGGTGGTTGGGGGCGACTGTGCCGGTGGGTCACTCACATGGTCTCCTCGTCGATGTCGTTCTCCTCTGTGTTACTGGTTGCCGTGGAGCTGCCTGAGGTGCTGCTGCCGTCCAGAGGGTTCACCTCCTCATCCCCCGTCAGACAGTCCACCTCCAAGTCCCCGTCAGACAGCTCCTGACCACACCACAACGTTGGCACAACATTTACATAACATAAGAGCCTTTAGTGCTGCTGTGCCGTGTTTTATCATCTGATACACCAATGAAATAGTACATGCTCAAGGTTCCCATCAGACAGCTCATGAACACACTTCAACATTAATGCAACATTAGCACAATGTTCAGACAACACGCAGCCTGGAGCTCAGCTCCTGACGCACCAAGTGTTTCCCCTCTACTGTGCCCCATCTCCTTCTTAAGACAATTTATGATAATGCACGCCGAGGTCAGCGCTTAAGACTAGAGACAATTAGTGGAAGAAAAGGTGGAGTGTTTCTGAAATCTAATTTAGTCCAGTGCTATAGACTATTGATGCGCCGTTTTTAAAATGACATACATTTTAATCTGAAACAAATATTAACCAAAATTATACGTTGTTGATTTTTTCTGGATTTTAATGTGACAATCTTTCGACCCCAGTGGTTATGAAGGTGACTATCGTATCCACACACCATTTAACCGTTTCGACCACTGAGCTTGAAACATACAGGTAACTGCCAAAAAGGAAACCAAAAAATAGTGTTTTTAATAGGGCATTGGGCCACCACGAGCCACCAGAACAGCTTCAATGCGCCTTGGCATAGATTCTATAAGTGTCTATAACTCTATTGGAGGGATGTGACACCATTCTTCCACGAGAAATTCCATCATTTGGTGTTTTGTTGATGGTGGTGGAAAACGCCATCTCAGGCACCTCTCCAGACTCCCATTAAGGGTGGGCGATATGACCAAAATATAATATTACGGTATTTTTTTTAAAGGACGGTATGAAGGTATTTTATGTTTCTAATAATAAAAGTTCTAAATTTGCTTTATGAGTAGTGTGTGACCCAAGGGTGGCAACACATACATTCTAAGTGATTTCAATAGTTTTTTCTCCATTCTGATTGTTTTATAATGTTCAATTAAACTCAATTTTAAAAAATTGTCAGCATTTTCATCAATTTCTGCATTTCCTGCACTAATTTGGATCATTTCCGTTACCCGATATGGGCAAACAACCTAGGCCTTATTCCTTACCATATGTTGCAATTGTGACATGACTTGTGATTTAGAGCAAAACACTTGGGTGAACTGTTGGAATCATGAAAATTGAATGATTATTCTAATTCTATAGTTAGAATATAATACTGGGCACTTTGAATAGAATGTTGTTTGACATGACGAATGAAAATGCCAGGAAGGAGTTGTTGTGACACGGTAGGACCTAAAGTGTTGACAAGTGTTTCCTAGGGGGACCCTATTATCTTTGGCTACATTTAATAAGTTCTCTCTTCACTACTTCATGTAGCTAACATATTCATGCTTCGCGTATTCCTCTTTGATTTAAAAGATACTGTTGCACAAACAATATGCTGATTTAGGTCTACGCCATCACTGGTATTATCAGGCTGTATAGCTAATTACATTTGCTCTGACTCAGTACATGTATTAGCTAGCTAGCCACCTAACTAGCGATTAGCATTAGCGGCTAACAAGATTTAGGCCCAACTTGCTAAGAAAAGACAAACTAGCTCTTTGCAGATGTAAGAAACACAACCGAATAGTGTAATTATAGAACGCTAGTGGATTTATATTAAGAAGCAAAGTGAAAACCGTGTCCTTGTCATCAACATTGTTGCATGTGCTGAATGGTCGAGGAAAAACAAATGCGCTCCTTGAGTGACAGGGGGCGGGGCTAGGTCTGTGTGGAAAGGTGGAGGATGACTCAAGTAGCGAAGTAAACTATAAAAATGGACGTTACACACGGTGTATCCCATATAACAAACCAAACATTCAAATACCTTTACAGAAGGTAAAGCAAAAACCCTAACTGTTCCGTGCATCAATACCGGTATATCGTAAAATACTGTATACCACCATGCCCTAACTCCCATAAGTGTTAAATTGGTTGAGATCTGGTGACAGACACACACAAACTTTGAAACCCCTCTATGCTCCTTTGATACCCCTCTTTTTAAGTCCCAGATCTCTTCTTCTAGCCATGGAAGCCACAATAATGGGCAACTGGGAATTTTTATACATGATCCTAAGCAAAAAAGGTGGTTGTCCCACTGGCTATCATAAATTGAATGCACCAATTTGTAAGTCGCTCTGGATAAAAGCGTCTGCTAAATGATGTAAATGTAAATGCATGATGGGATGTTAATTGGGGCGGCAGGTAGCCTAGCAGTTAAGAGTGAAAAATCTGTCGATGTGCCCTTGAGAAAGGCACCTAACCCTAATTTCTCCTGTAAGTCGCTCTGGATAAGAGCGTCTGCTAAATGGCTAATCTGTAACTGTAAAACGAATTGCTTAATTAACTCAGGAACCACCTGCTTTCAATATACTTTGCATCCCTCATTTACTCAAGTGTTTCCTTTATTTTCACAGTTACCTGTACATAGCTATAAAACTAAGAGCTTTAAATCAGTATAATCATGTTGTGTGTGCACCATCTTGAACCAAAAATATGAACCAATACAGTGATCATCTGTGGTCCTCATGAATATGATTACAAAGTGCGAATGTCTGAGTTACTCACATTGGAGTCGTGCTGAGTCTTCTCTTCGCCTTTGGTCTCGGTGGTCTGGCAGCCATCCTCAGCCACGGGGCACTTCCCTGAGCGGGAGTCTCTCTCCGAGGTCGAGGGGCCCAGGCGTCGGTTAGGAGGGGACGAGCTGCGAGACTGTTGCCTACGGAACAGCTCAATGGCCAGCCTCTGAAAACGGGTAGACATAATATGCAACGACAACACAATAATCCTTTTTGTTAGTCATTTGTGGTGATCTAAGCCAAGGTTTTCCAAACTCGGTCCTGGGGTCCCCCCTGGGTGCACGTTTAGTTTTTTTGACCTAGCACGGCACAGCTGATTCAAATAATCAAAGCTTAATGAGGAGTTTGTTATTTGAATCAGCTGTGTAGTGCTAGGGCAAAAACCAAAACATGCACCCGGGGGGGGGGGGCCCAGAACCGAATTTGGTAAACCCTGATCTAAGCCCCCACCTCTTTGAGGTTGTTGATCTGCTGGATGTAGCTGGACTGGGCTGACTCCAGCTGGCTGATGTACCAGTATTGGTCTCTGCACTTCTGGAAGAAGGTGGGCGAACGCACCTGGTACCTGTTCAGGACAGAGACAGAGTCAACTCGGCAGCCAAACAAGACATCAATGAACCCCGAATTAGAACTGATAAAGACATGGCACCTTTCTGACTAATGTATAGTAGTAACTCACCTGTAGTGCTGAACGATAAATATAAAAATAAAAACACGAGTTAAACATGAGATATCAAGTCAAGAACTATGTGGGACCCTGGGCTGAAACCGAAACGCGGTAATTAACTACAATGACCATAATCCATTGCGCCTGTTCTTTCCGGCTTGGACAGAGATGGATACACTTTTACGCCTGCTACGTTAGGTTAGATACACGGACCGCATGAGAGAGGAATGTACACAACGATGAGAGCGAGGGAGAGAGACAGTTCGTGAATGTATGCCTTTTCTACTTTTAAGAACTAGTAAAATGATTTCGTCAGACAGCTCTGCAGCATGCTTAGGCAGGCTAACCTAGCTAAATATGATGACTAAAGACAAAATGGGGAGCACAGAGATAATGTCTGACTGACTGCTACTGCCTGAGCAGAGATGAGATGTTGACTTTAAGGAATGAAAAACAATAGTCATCAAATAAACATAGTAATATACACAACTGAAATATTTTATTTCATAGTAATTTCCTATTGATGTCAAAAATCGAACAGACCTCAAAAACCACTAATCGCTCAGCACTACTCACCTGAGGACTAGAGTGTCAGTCTGCATGTTGAGGTAGCCCTCGCTGGCCAGCAGGTCCAGTCTGAAGAAGCGGTTGTATCCCCAGCACTCCCCCACCTCAAAGTCTGATGCAAACTCCCTGATAATGTTCTTAGTGGGGTCGCTGGAGGCCTGGTGGACCATCTCCACGCGGTACTCGTACCTACAGACACAAACGTTAAAGGTGATATAACTAAAAGTTCAAACTTGATTGATAGAAAGAGAATGACAATAACTTGACAAAAACATACTTCGACGTTTCAGGGAGTCCTGCAGATAGTTCCAAGAAAACTGACAGGTAGTTGCCGCGCACCACACCGTTGCCATCCTGAAGGAAAAACAAACACACATAATGATGAACATGACCAGTTTTTCACAGATCTTCAATACTGACAACTTAGTTGTGACAAAGGTGACATATCAAATCTAGTAGTTAGAGTAAGATAGGATGAACATAAGAGCTAGTTGTCTAGTAGCAATTACTACTAGAGAACAACCAATTGTTGGAGGTGTATGTCTACTCCAGTGGAGGCTGCTGAGGCTCATAATAATGTCTGGAACAGAGGGAATGGAATGGCATCAAACAAATGGAAACGTGTTTGATGTATTTGATACCATTCCATTCATTCCGCTCCAGCCGTTACCACGAGCCCGTCCTCCCCAATTAAGGTGCCACCAACCGCCTGTGGTCTACTCACTGGGTAAACCTTGAGTCTCCAGCAGAGGCCAGATATCTGGAGTGGTGGGCTGTAGACAGGATCTGCCCTCTGTCTCAGGGTGCTGTAAGACCAACGGAACACACCGGCAGAAAAACAAGTCAGATAGGATGAACCCATTCATTAATTAAACAAGCCAATTTCAACTGAGTCTTGGTAAAGTGTCACAACGAGAGAGAAATTGCTCCTTATCATGGGCCGACATGTCCTTGGTTGCCTTAACGGCGCAAATCCCCCAACCGACTGGTGCTAATACATGATCAGTCACATGCTAATTAGCAGCTAGAGCATAAGCACTTAATCAGAGCCTTGGACCTAGCAACCTAAATTATTTTCCAAGAAACAGAAGCTAAAATATGTTTAGTTTGTTGTTAAAAAAGACTGTCGATTTCTATTCCTTGTGCATACACAAGCTGAATTTCAGAACATTTTCAAGACTAGATACAGCGGAGGATTTTTTTACCTGAAGTTTGCCAGAACGAAAGTGCTTGAGTCATAGGCAGGAACCAGCTCACTACGTGTGTGGGGGGGAAAGAGAGATGTTCTGTAATTACAGCTCAATTTAATTAAATATCCATTAAAAGCATAAAAATATCTTGCTGCATTATGAATCATCCAAATGGAAATGTATATCTGAAAACACATAATTAAAACTGAACATCCATATTTAAAAGTGGACCCTCCTTTCTCTGACAACAATGTGAAAACACAGCTACAACAAAGTATAAAAAGAGGAATGTAGGGCATGTTTGTATTCTCAAGTTCTCTAGTTGCATGATCTGTGGTTTAGTACATTACCTAGGGAGTGCGGGTAGAATGGGTTTAGTGCAGTAGGGTTTAGTTAGTATATTACCTGGTGAAGTCTGGGGGGACTGGGGTGGTAACAAACGACTGCATGGGCTTGCGGTGAACCTGCTGGAACATGAGCAGGATCTCTGGGCTCTTGGAGATCAACTCGCTCTTACTGCAGGACCGCAGCTGTAGGACAGAACACCACACACAATTCTAGAGCTCTGCATGGGCAACACCTGACCCACACTCTCCCCCCCCCACCTCAATCTAACGCTTAACGTCATCTCATTTCACTGGCGGCATGACATATCAAGGTAAAGTTCCACAGGCCATGGAAATCCCAAGGCTGTGACTTCAGAGGTGAACGTATAAGAAAACATCTGGGTGAAGGTTTGAAAACACCCATTCTCTCAGGGGGCTTATGACCTTCATTGAATTTATGCTCAGTTTTGAAATATAGGAATCTCTGGACTAAAAAGGGCAGGATTATCAACACCATAAAAACGTAGTTTCTCACATGAGTTTCAAATCAGTGCGAACGCACCTGGTTTCTTTAAGTTTCAAATGAGTTCTCTCAGAAAACAAAAAGTGAATCTCAATATTCTAAAGTGGCTTCCTAGCCTTTTATCCATTCATTTATCTGCACTGATGTGAAAGAACTGGACAGGTGAAAGCACATTGTGGTCCTGAACATCACTGCTTTGAACATCCTGTCTGTTCAGGCCAGTGCAGATCAAGGTTATAATAGTAAACTAAAACGAATCATGAAAAAACAATTGAGTAAACTGAAATAAAATGTACAAACCCATTTGAAAAACAAAAACTATTATCTTTGACTCCAAAACTAACTAAAATAAAAACCATCATGAATTATGTTCAGTTTTAGGTTTTTGGGCACAAATCGAATGGGAGTTTAAGCTTTTGGGGGATTTTCATGCTACTGAAGCTGGCTGGTAAATGCGGCCAGGAGATTCAAAAAGGCCTAGCATTTGCGTCACTATCACTTGCTAACAGGAAATGCTAACTTTATTCTTCATACTTGTACTACTAAAGTTATACTGAACAAAAATATAAAACGCAACAATTACAAAAACTTTACTGAGTAACATTTCATAAGGAAATCAGTCAATTGAAATAAATAAATTAGGCCCTAGTCTATGGATTTCACTTGACTGGGAATACAGATATGCATCTGTTGGTCACAGATACCTTTAAAAAAGGTAGGGGCGTGGATCAGAAAACCAGCGGAAACTGGAACACGCTGTCGTACAAGTTGATCCAGAGCATCCCAAACATGCTCAATGTGTAACATGTCTGGTGAGTATGCAGGCCATGGAAGAACTGGGACATTTTCAGCTTCCAGGAATTGTGTACAGATTCTTGCAACATGGTGCTGTGCATTATCATGCTGAAACATGAGGTGATGGCGGCGGATGAATGGCACGACAATGGGCCTTAGGATCTTGTCACGGTATCTCTGTGCATTCAAATTGCCATCGATACAATTTAATTGTGTTCATTGTCCGTAGCTTATGCCTGCCCATACCATAACCCCACCACCACGGGGCACTCTGTTTACAGTGTTGACATCAGCAAACCGCTCGCCCACACACTGCGGTTGTGAAGCTGGTTGGACGTACTGCCAAATTCTCTAAAATTACATTGGAGGCAGTTTATGGTAGAGGAATTAATATTAAATTATCTGGCAACATCTCTGGTGGACATTCCTGCAGTCAGAATGCCAATTGCACGCGCTCCTTAAAACTTGAGACATCTGTGGCATTGTCGTGTGACAAAACTGCACATTTTAGAGTGGCCTTTTATTGTCCCAAGCACAAAGTGCACCTGTGTAATGTTCATGCAGTTTAATCAGCTTCTTGATATGCCACACCTGTCAGATGGATGGATTATCTTGGCAAAGGAGAAACGCTCACTAACAAGGATGTAAACAAGTTTGGGCACAACATTTGAGAAAACTAAGCTTTTTGTGCATATGGAACATTTCTGGGATATTTTATTTTAGTTCATGAAACATGGGACCAAAACACTTTACATGTTGTGTTTCTTTTTGTTCAGTGTAGAAGACATTGGATTGGTGTAAACATGGGCTTTCTTCCATCCTATTTTTTGCACCAGTCTCGGTGCTATTCCTTTTAAATCCAAGTCACTGAGATTTACTTTATAATTTATACCTAAGCATAGCTCTCGAACATTTTAGTCATTTATAAGACGCTCTTAGAGTGACTTATAGGAGCAATTAGGGTTAAGTGCCTTGCTCAATGGCACAGACAGATTTTTCACCTAGTCGGTCGAGGAATCGAACCAGCGACCTTTCGGTTACTGGCCCAACGCGCTTAACTGCTGGGCTACCTGCCGCCATACAGCCATAGGGTTCCCATTTGAACAATTGACCACAGCGGGGCCAACGTGTACAACGCTCTGTCTAACCCTTAATAATCACAGCGTGCAATACGGTTTAATAAGTTCTACCTTCATATCATACCCACGGAGGTGTTTTGCATTTCACTTCCTGAGCTAATGGAAACTCAGGACGGAAAAACTAAAAGTCTGCTCGAAGCTGTGTTACACAATTAAAAAATAATAATCAGTGGTAAAAAAACAGCTAACACTAAGTGTATCTTTTGTATTTGTAAAGTGATTTTTGGATGATAATTAAAGTAACTGTCCTTTGAACTTTTAAAACGTTTATATTCTGTTAACACTCGTGTTATACTCTTATGTTGCCAAAGCATAAATTGGAGAAGAAAAAAAACAAACTTCAAATCAGACAGTTTAAAAAATGCTTGCCATTTCCTTATAGATTATGATGTCATACTCCTGAGGAGGATGAACTGGCCAATCAGCGCTCTACTCGCATGAATATTTTCAATGACCGCTATACACCCACACCATTCTGTTATTGGGGTACGCCCACACCATTCCAACAAAGAAAATGTGATTTTTCACATACTTAATTACCATTTTTTGGAAACACTGGACAGTTACTTTAAGTTGAGTGTTCAAGGTTTTAAAACCGTATCGCAATCAAGTATCAATTGTTTTTAGATAGTGTTTCACACTTGACCAAATCACCTCAGCTAATCAAAAAGGGACATGGAATGACTAATGTAGCATTGGAGTCATAAGGGCTAGCCTAACCTATGACCTGATCCATCACCTTATTTATTACTGCCCCCCCAGTGGTAAGTGACATCCCAATAAAACTATACAACCCAAATGGCTCCTAGCCTCCAACCCATGCTTTCTAAAACGAAATAATATAAAAACAAAATAAATATATTCATACAACTTAAAATAAAAAAGAACAAATCAGGTCTGAAAACTAACTGAAACTAAACTTAATACAAAACAAAAATAAATAAAAACTAATAGAAATAAAAACGAATATAAAAACACAAAACAATAATAACCTTGGTGCAGAGTAACAGGATATGAAAGGAGTGAAAGCCTCTAGACCATTGGTGGCTCAGTGCCTCCTCTCCCCCAGCTTCCTGCTACCCTGAGTGCTGTTCGGTGTGGCGTGCCAGACTGCCACTTGAAACACTTCACACTCTACTCCTAAACACCTGCCTCCACAAACCACAGGACAATACAGTATGTTCTGCAAGAAACACACCCTCAAGCAGGTACACCACGTCCAATCCACTTGTAGTGCCACCTTTGCTGTTATTATAGACTTTCGGTTTACTGGTGTTAAATGGTACACTACTGGTATGGTACAAGTTCACACACCTGATGTTCCACCTCTTGCAGGAGAGACTCCAGTAGCTCAGTCTCTTGGGTGAGGGAGGTCTTCTGACCTGTTGTGAGAGGACATTTTCATGTAAGAATAATATTTCAGTGACATAGAAGGGCATTACAGTGACTAGAGAGAACCCGGAATGGTGTCACCAAATGAGCGTACCCATGAGGGTGAGGAGTTTGTTCTTGAGCTGGTTGTCCAGACGGGCGATCATCATCTCTACTGCATTACGGATCTCTCGCACTCGCTCGTCCTTGGCCCCTCGCACTGCTTCCACATTCCTCTCCTGAGAGAAACAGAAAACCATGTTGAATGAAGGCAGACTGTTGCAGAGTTGTAATGTAACTTGGTACAACGGTAACGTCATCTGTCATCACAGATGGATAGTGTGTAGAGGTCTCCTGTAGCTCAGTTGGCAGAGCATGGCGCCTGCAACGCCAGGGTTGTGGGTTCGTTTCCCAAGGGGGGCCAGTATGAAAAATGTATGCACTCACTAACTGTAAGTCGCTCTGGATAAGAGCGTCTGCTAAATGACTAAAATGTAAATGTAAATGTAGAGGAGGCATTCCATCACTACAGAGGAGAATTAGCTGTAGTGCCGTTGTGCCATCTAGTGGCTAAATTCAGCACTGTGCATTGGTGATATTGATACTTTTTTCTCATGTGTGCTTCTAACCAAGCTAAAAAAAACAATCCCATGATATGTCATAATATACAGAAACAGTGCCCCTCACCACTTCCTGCACCAGGCTGATGAGTTCCATGAGGCGGCGGCGGAGCTTGGCCACCTCCTCGTTCACCTTGGTCACGTGCTGCTCATAGATCTCAGCTAGAGGCTTGAAGGTGTGGCCGCCATGCTTGGGAAAGGGGTACATGTGGTGAACATAAAAATGGAGGGACGGACTGAGAGCACTTGTTGTGTTATACCAAACTGATGTGGGCTTGATTGAGAATACTCCTCTGTGGGTCACTTACCATGCCTCCCCACAGAGCACACTGGTGGCAGATGCACTTCTTACAGGTCCAGCAGAACACACTGAGCTTCTCATGGTGGTTCTCACACCTGTAGTCGAGCCACACAACTGATAAGACTGACACATCCAGACCCTCTGGAATATCTTTTCAACACATTTTCTATCATTAACCATGTTTCGATCCACAATTTTTATGCAAGTAAAGTCATACCGTATTTTTAAAAAATCATGACAGCTGTGATGGAAACAGGAAGTGTCTGTAAAATTCTATAAATGCAGACATAATTGGTTCATTCGACATGGTGGGATCTTTTTGTGTCTGTAAAATTAATCATGTGAGAAATGGCAGTGGAAACTACTTTATGCACAAATATTGATATAATAACCATCATATTGAAGTAAACTTCGATTCACGTGATGATATGGTGTGTGGTCCTCCCACTACCACTCGGGAAACCATGCAGTTTATTAGGTTACAGATAAATAAGTTATGAACTTCACAGGGTGGTGAAAGTGCACAGTGATAAGCTTGATGCGCCTATCCAATATCGAGGGTCTTATTCTGTTGACATGATGATCGATGCTTGACTGCCATCTGACAGAGTTGAAAATGTGATAAACACATTGAACTTTAGGTTTTCATTCGAATCATGAAAACGTAACACTGATTTTAATCCCCAAGTCAGTTTGGTGGAAACATCACTGGTGGGAAAATGCACATATTTTTGAATATTCGCATGAACATCTGTCGCAAACTGGATGGAAACCTAGCTACTGTCAGCAAAACAAGTCCCAAACAACCAGCCATTTATAAACTCAGCCCACATTAGAATGTGCTGGGCCTTTCAAATTTCCTAGCTGAAAGGACAAATCGTTCTAGGTTGCTTTTGCCTCATACTTCAGATATGGGCTGAATTTTGTTTAATGGGGTTCAGGTTAGGTTTTAGAGGTCTTCAGAAAGGGGTAGAAAGGGCAGAGAGAGACAGACAGAAAGATAAAGAAAGTGGTGGTAGTGATGATGAATGAGGCAACGGGTCACAGGGGAGCAATGGAAAGGGATGCTGGGGCTCACTTGTCCTTGTCGTTCTCCTCGTGTTTGGAGAGGTTGCAGAGCTGCAGGGTGTCCAGCTGCTGGGTAACTTCCTCAACCCAGCGGCAGTTCACCAGCTCCCGCAGTTGCAGTGGCGCCCTGGATACATAATAATATAATAATAATATGCCATTTAGCAGACGCTTTTATCCAAAGCGACTTACAGTCATGCGTGCATACATTTTTGTGTATGGGTGGTCCCGGGGATCGAACCCACTACCTTGGCGTTACAAGCGCCGTGCTCTACCAGCTGAGCTACAGAGGACCACCCATACAGAGGACATACATACATACATACATACACACACGTATAAGGTCACACACATGATCACTCTTGACATATAATGCCCCCTAAATGGTGGCTACAGCCTAGGTCAGGGGTGTCAAACTCATTCCACGTAGGGCCTAGTGTCTGCAGGTTTTTGTTTTTTCCTTTCAATTAAGACCTAGACAACCAGGTGAGGGGAGTTCCTTACTAATTAGTGACCTTAATTCATAAATCAAGTACAAGGGAGGAGAGAAAACCTGCAAACAGTCAGCCCTCCGTGGAATGAGTTAGACACGTGGCCTACGTCTATCCAAAAACATCTAATCAAACAATTTAGACAAAGGAAGTTACATACAGATCTCCAAGTTTAGTATGCCTTTAAGGATTTTTCAAGCAAGACCTCTTTAAAAACCGTGTTTCTTTTACCATCATGAATTGATACTGGCACTAGGGGGGGATCAATACTTAATTCCCTCGATTTACTCAACTCCGCTGCCTGAATTTAAAAAAAAATTGGGGTCGCAACCCATACTTTGAATAACACTGCAGTAGTAGGAGGAGGGCTTACCGACAGTGTGGGCATTGGGCTCTCTGCTCAGTCAACCAGCGCTGTCAATAGGAGAGGTTACATTACAGCATTGCAGATGAGGTTGTAACACTGTATAGATTTTTACAGGATGCCTAACACCCATGACTGCATCCATTTACTATATTTCTAGCCTGACAGTTCAAAGTAAACACTGAAATGATAATTTTTCTATACTTTAAAATCATTAGAAAAATTAAAGTGGAATATTGGATTTCCCTGGTAAACAAGACAAGTTTGTTCATGAAGCTTCTGCTTCATTCACCAATGCTGTGAGTTATAAGCATGATAGTCCAAACAGACTTTTTTAATATGCATTGTTGTAGATTTCGCCCTCACAACCCAGCTGTGCAGAGTTACGCTAACGAGCTGGCCTCATTTCCCGTGGCGACATGTCATCAGACTCACCCGTATGCAGCTGAAACAGCAGAGTTTGGAGCAGTGGGGGCAGAGCCGAGCGTCCCGCAGCTTCTCCATACAGATGAAACAACGAAACACCTCCGCAATACTCTGTGCAGAGATAGAAGGCTTTTAAATTATCAAAGCAAGACTGGAACCATTATAAATGGACAGGAATCAGTAGGCTCTTGAAATGTGGTGTATGATATATTATATTAATCCAGGTCTAACTGGAAATGTGATATATAGGTTATATATTTTTATACATTGATATTTTCTGTATATTTAGAAAGTCAATCTATCAAACAGTGATAAAAGCTCCCAGCACAATAATCACAGGGGGGCTTAGTCATGGACAAGCAAGCAGGAATCAATTCTTATTTGGTACAGTTGGGGCACAAACCGATGTAAATGACTGTCTGGTGGGGTGAGCTATATCTGGAGAAGATATCCCAGTCTAATGCAATTGGCATAAGGCCAACGTTGGCTGAGAGCAAAAGCTCTAGTCTAGTGATACGTCCTGAGCTCAGGAGTGCTTCCATCCATCCGTCTGTCAGCTGAGGAGATTTTCTAGTTAGAGCAGTGAGTCTAGTTGTCCACACAAGCAAGTCATATAGATGGGTATTTATCTAAAGCTACAGTGGGGTAACCAGTGACATACATGTGCTTTTATACTGATGTGCAAAATGGACCACACCTCAACACTTTGTTCATCCATCTCAGCCAGTTTAGTTTTCTTCAAGTGGAGGAAATTGTGTGAAATCTCAATCCAATACCTATTTTCATGGTGAGAAAGAAAACAGGGGTGTAATCATTAGTCCAAACAGTTGCATTTTGCAACAAAAAAAAGAGTTTCTATTTGACAAATTCAGGTAGGCCCCCTCCCTGTTTCGTTCAGTTTATGTTTAAGAAATTGTTTGCAACAGAATCAACGTAATGAATACGCCCCTGGAATGTAATCATTACATTAATCAAAACATCCCTTTTGCAACGAAAACGAACTCAGCAAACAGGGCGGGAACTACCTGAATATGTCCAATATAAATGCTAGTTTTCGATGTTTTGCAACTGTTTGGAGTTTGTAATCGATACGCCGATTCTGTTGCAAAATGTTTCGTCGAAACCGTTTACTCCAAATCGAAACGCAAACGACAGTTTATGGACAAATTCAGGTAGGTCCCTCCCCGATTAGTTCCGTTTGGTTCTTAAACGGTAGACTGTTTCTATAATGAACACACCCCAGTTGTGTCAAACGAATGCAGATAGAGGTTAAGTCAAAATTGTGGTTTCTTGTCATTTCCAACGCAGGAATGAATGAGTTCATGATTAATCTTTCAAACGAATATTGGTGTTAAATAACTTCAAGCTGAAAAAAGATTTTGGCTCTGTGACTGGTTAGCTAAGCAGTTAGTGACTTTGCTAACTAACACTGGTTTCCAAAATGTTGTTGAGTATATCCATCTATACACACACACACCACTACAATAATTGTAGTTTGACATGGGGTTGAACAACAAAGCTAGCTAACTAGCAACATAAATATAAGCAATGAAGTTGTGCATTGTTATGAGGGCAAATTCAAATACCAAGCTAACTAACGTTAGCTAGCTGACTATGCTAGTTACCTTACCTTAATCTCATATGCTTGCTAGATAGCTAGCTGGTTTAGCTATTTCTTCTTTCTTCAAAAAGGCAATGATAACAGCGCTGATGAAACACGCCGAAGTTCCACTATTATGTTGGATGTGTGGAATTTGTTAACTAGCTTGCTAGTTAGCGTCAGCTAGCCTGATTCCTAACATCCATTGCTGGCTAATAAACGAGTTAGCATCGAGCTTACTTGACCTAGCTAGCAGCTAAATTGCCTCAGCTGTAAATATCGAATTCATACAGTAAAGACAGGCTTCATTCAATGATACATTTGAACGCAAGACTAGCATCGTTTTTGCAATCCGTGACTACAGTTATTTTTCTTCCATGATGCAGGCTACATCATCATCAGTGCTGCAGCTACATATCACCATTGGAGACCATTTCACTGTTTATCGCGAGCTCTTTGGATATTGCTTAAACCAATGCAAAAGCGGTGGTAGGTGGGACATTTGTAACAGTTATCCAATGGCCCATATATCTGAGAAGGTAAGGCGACACACCCATTTTCTTATCGTAGATTCTGCACACACTACTGACTTTGAAATACAATTTGAGGTTAAAAAAAAGAAAAAAAAGAAAATTAACTGTGTGACTATGGTAATTGCCAGTGATGTAATTACATAGTTTTTATAACATATCTCCATAAGAAATTGGGGAGACAAACAGTAACACAAAATGTGAAATTGAAGACCTAGCTAGCTACATTATTTTATTATTCTCCCCATGCATTGCAAGTGCAGAATCAAAGTTACTTATATAAACTATGCCATGCTCAAAACTGTACTGAAATGTGGACTTTCCACCGAAAATGCCTTATTCTGAAGCATCATTTGGACCTGAGGGAGAAATTGACCCACATACTAAATACAGAAGGCCTGGAGAAAAGTGGAGTTGCCTTCTGTGGATGTGGGGCCAAATGAATGAGCCATTTTTAATGTCCCCAGTGAACCTGAATAAATGTAAGTCTTTCATTCAGGCTAGCCCCATCGAGACACCTCATCCCATTTTCAGGAGGATCCTCTGGTATCAAGCCTGGCTGCCTAGCTAACCACTGTGAGCCTTGATGAATATAGGCATCCATAGACACGCATAACAAAAGTACATCTTCATTTTCTTCTACTGTCTCCTTTCCTCCACCTGTTCTGATCTGAAAACATGTGATAGGTGAAAGCAATATGGTGGACGCCTGCAGGCAATCTACATACACGCGTGACCGGTCCAATTATATTAGATCAATGCAGATGAGGAAAAGAGACAAGGAGAAAGAGGCACATACAGTGAGGGAAAAAAGTATTTGATCCCCTGCTGATTTTGTACATTTGCCCACTGACAAAGACATGATCAGTCTATCATTTTAATGGTAAGTTTATTTGAACAGTGAGAGACAATAACAACAACAAAAATCTAGAAAAACGCATGTCAAAAATGTTATAAATTGATTTGCATTTTAATGAGGGAAATAAGTATTTGACCCCTCTGCAAAACATGACTTAGTACTTGGTGGCAAAACCCTTGTTGGTAATCACAGAGGTCAGACGTTTCTTGTAGTTGGCCACCAGGTTTGCACACATCTCAGGAGGGGTCTTGTCCCACTCCTCTTTGCAGATCTTCTCCAAGTCATTATTGTTTCGAGGCTGTCGTTTGGCAACTCGAACCTTCAGCTCCCTCCACAGATTTTCTATGGGATTAAGGTCTGGAGACTGGCTAGGCCACTCCAGGACCTTAATGTGCCTTCTCTTGAGCCACTCCTTTGTTGCCTTGGCCGTGTGTTTTGGGTCATTGTCATGGTGGAATACCCATCCACGACCCATTTTCAATGCCCTGGCTGAGGGAAGGAGGTTCTCACCCAAGATTTGACGGTACATGGCCCCGTCCATCGTCCCTTTGATGCTGTGAAGTTGTCCTGTCCCCTTAGCAGAAAAACACCCCCAAAGCATAATGTTTCCATCTCCATGTTTGACGGTGGGGATGGTGTTCTTGGAGTCATAGGCAGCATTCCTCCTCCTCCAAACACGGCGAGCTGAGTTGATGCCAAAGAGCTCGATTTTGGTCTCATCTGACCACAACACTTTCACCCAGTTCTCCTCTGAATCATTCAGATGTTCATTGGCAAACTTCAGACGGGCCTGTATATGTGCTTTCTTGAGCATGCAGGATTTCAGTCCTTCACGGCGTAGTGTGTTACCAATTGTTTTCTTGGTGACTATGGTCCCAGCTGCCTTGAGATCATTGACAAGATCCTCCCTGTAGTTCTGGGCTGATTCCTCACCGTTCTCATGATCATTGCAACTCCACGAGGTGAGATCTTGCATGGAGCCCCAGGCCGAGGGAGATTGACAGTTATTTTGTGTTTCTTCCATTTGCGAATAATCACACCAACTGTTGTCACCTTCTCACCAAGCTGCTTGGCGATGGTCTTGTAGCCCATTCCAGCCTTGTGTAGGTCTACAATCTTGTTCCTGACATCCTTGGAGAGCTCTTTGGTCTTGGCCATGGTGGAGAGTTTGGAATCTGATTGATTGATTGCTTCTGTGGACAGGTGTCTTTTATACAGGTAACAAATTGAGATTAGGAGCACTCCCTTTAAGAGTGTGCTCCTAATCTCAGCTCGTTACCTGTATAAAAGACACCTGGGAGCCAGAAATCTTTCTGATTGAGAGGGGTCAAATACTTATTTCCCTCATTAAAATGCAAATCAATTTATAACATTTTTGACATGCGTTTTTCTGGATTTCTTTATAGACTGATAATTTCTTTGTCAGTGGGCAAACATACAAAATCAGCAGGGGATCAAATACTTTTTTCCCTCACTGTACGACTACAATATGCATTAATCATGTCCTCTCTCCTCACTTTCATAGAGAATAGAAAGCGCTCCAGAGCCACAAAAAGCTCCAGAGCTGCCACTATTAAATAGTTATTGCTAGAAACAAAGAACACATCTTAACAATATGGTGATGCTAATGTCCAGTGAGCTTTTCTGCAGTTACATTACAGCTTTTCTTCTTAGAAATTTGGTGTCAATGAATTTCTATCACAAATTCTGAGGCTGAATGTAAAAGTTTAGCTTAATTCCACCGTACTCATTTTATCTGTAGAGAGGATTCTCAGAATTGGGATATGGTTCCAAAGTAACCCTGACTGCTGTGCAGTGCCCAATCCTATCTGCTTTAGCAAAACTCTGGTCAACCTTTTCACCACAAGATGTCAGTAGCAAGTCATTTGCAGCAGGCAATGCAGACTACCCCACGTGATTTAGGCTAGATTTGAGTGTATTTACTGTTAAGGTGCAACATTTACAGTAAATTCAATTTGAACAAACACAACATCACCATTATGGGTGGAAATGGTGTGAGGGAGAAAAAAGTAACACAGCTGATGGATTTGAATTCCAGGGGTTTATTCCTTGAAAGGCAATTAATACACTGGCAATAGACACTGTAAAACAAGGGTATTCCTATAAGTTACATGTCCATAATAAAAAAGTGATGTGCCATTCAGTTTAAAAGTTGACATAAATATACACACACTTGTTTAGAAATCTCTTAGAGACTCCTTAGCAGTCAGTCACAGTTGATTACAGTGTTAAAGTAGAGTACCTGTTATGTCTATGTGTAACAGCGGAATGAGTGATGTTGACGCATTACAACCAGGGGCTTATTCAGGTGATTAAAACTTTAAATGGATTGCTGATAGAAAAGTCATGTAATAGAGCAAATACCATGCAGTAATCAGATCCAACCATTAAGAAGTGTCCCTTAAACAAAAATCTGCATTGTTCTGAGTTTTTTGCCCTACTGAACATTCCCCAGGTATTACCCATCTTTCACGATTATACAACATGCCACCTCCATATATCAGCAGTTCACTGGCATTTTGTACATAACACTGTAACTTGCGTCTTGGTCAACTTTAGGTTTCACAGATTGTACCACGATCTGAAGAATAAATGTTAGGATGGCGCTCCAAGATCTGTTGCAAAATTGAAAAGAAACAACATAAAAAGCGTATTGACTGAAAGTCCTCTATTAATCCTTTGTTTTACTAGGCTGGCATCCTCTGTTGAATATGTTACGACCATTTGAATGTGATTATAATCAAATTACAGGGCCCCATATTTTAGCAAGCTTATGGATACATTCTCACGTTTAGCTTAAGTAGTACCATTGCCTTGACTTTTCTTTACAGCCAGATAATTCTGCACCATCAAAATCGCAAAACAAATTAGAAATATAGCAGGTCGATTCCAAGCCAGCAGAAAATTGTTCTGGCAATTCTCACATAGGAACTTCATTGGCAGGAAGGATGTTTGACATGCTTTTTACATTTGTATCGCAAAACATTTTTGAGAAAATCATGATGAAAGTGGCCATTTTTGGCCGTTTTTAGACCTATACATGCCTCCTGTAAGACCCTATGATCTGTGAACCGTACATGATACACAACATCTTGGTGCCTTTATACTCCTTATAGTGTGCTCCAATAAATGGAGTATGTCTAGATTCTCTGGTACTTTTAATGATATGACCCATTTTATACATAGAAATTGACATTATAAGTGAAATAAATGTGAAAAATAGGTCATTAACCAATCACATCCCTTCTTTAGGCTTGCACATTTAGCAAATCACCTGCAGATGGAGTTCCCTTTAAATCCATTTTTCTCCATTCACTGTGTTGGTGGTGCTCATAAAATGTATTATTACTTCAGAATTAGCAGAGAGCCCACTCTGGAAATGTGATGTACTTGTAGAGTATATTGTTCCAAACAATTTGTCTTAAAATGAACAAAATCAAAAAGGGTAGTTTTGAGATATTTATAATAATATTTGTAATGTTGAATAAATTAGTGAACATTTGTATTTCAGAATCTAGACATAGGCTACTCCATATGTTAGAGCACACTAATAATTGTGCTGTAGCTCAGTTGGTAGAGCATGGCGCTTGCAACGCAAGGGTTGTGGGTTCGTTTCCCACGGGGGGCCAGTATGAAAAATGTATGCACTCACTAATTGTAAGTCGCTCTGGATAAGAGCATCTGCTAAATGAATAAAATGTCAAAAAAATACAAATACAAATATAAAAAGCATTTCAAACATCCTTCCTACTAATGAAATGTCTATGTGAAAATTGCCAGAACAATCTGAGATACCAACAATATTTTCTGCTCCCGCTGACTTGGAATCGCCCAGCAGCAGTGCACCAAGGAAGGCTTAAACAATTTAAAAGTATTTGTTCAAGTTACAAATGGTGACAGTGTTAATTTGGGAGTGTTATTATGGCCTCTGCCTCTCCTAATACCATAGGGAGATATCGTTTATCCAACGTTAACATGTTTAAAATGCAAACTGTTATCATTACACTGCCCCCCAAAAATATTGTTATTATCCCCCACTAATACATCTTATGTACCTGGGAGAAGAAATTCCCTTTTAATACATTGTTCATTTAGGAACATACAGGATAATTTCCCTATTGTAGTACTACACATTGTAGTTTACAGCACCAGCAAACCAGCGCCATGGTTCAACTGCCCTGCCCTGTGATTCCATGGTATAACAAGAAGCATCCTTCTGCATTACTATGCCTCATGGGCATACTACATGAGTAGTAACAGGAGTTTTCCTGGTCAGGTCACATATTCAGGAAATACTAGGTCCTTTAATACATACAGTAAGGGCTCTTGGCCCTACTGACACATAGTTGAGATATAAAATGAATGAGAGAAGTTAAAAGTACCTTACCTAATTCTATATTAGCATTAGAAATATTAGTTGAGACCACACATTGGGGCATACTCACATATAAGAACCAGCTTTGGTTTTGGATGAAACGCATCCCTTTTTTCCCCCGTTGCGCACAATTAGACTGCAGCCGGGTCCCTTGCTGGAGACTCAAGAAGGCTAGGAGCAAAGCACATGCAAGCAGAGTATAGAATTCTGCAGAGTGCATACTGCAAGATGCAGAAGTCAGCATTTCCCAAATTCAGCAGAAGCTATCTAAAAATACATACCCCTTTCCTCTGCACTACAAGCTGGAGAAGTAATCTTACAGTATCAAGATGTGCCATCTGGGTCTGTGCAGCGTGGATGTAGATGAGTGCAGACTAGGGCCGAATGCCAACTCCGCCATACATAGTGTGAGGCCATCTGATATGAAGAGGGCTGGTCTAAAAGGAGTATGTGCATGCAGGAGCATTGTATTGGCTTGGCTCCATTTCAGTCCCTAAACTCTTTTACTCAAACTTAGTGCTTCCTTTTGATCTATTAATGCTTAATTTAACCAGGCTGAGATAGTAAGATCTGTGAATGCTATTGGGAAAGGGTCTAGCGGCCAAAATGGACCAAAGCCTACTTGGCTTACAGTGTGTGAGAATGTTTAAAAGGGTAGCAGTAGAGACAGGAGGGGGCTGCCACTTCCTGAACCTCACCATATTGAAGAGCCAATGACGGCTCAAACCATTAGAGAGGCGTGGTCATTTGTTCAAGAAGCCCTCTGTTGCCTCCGATTCTGGAGAGACATTACCCAGCAAACACCTGGGGCGTCAGTGGCGGCGGCAGCCGATCGTTTTCCACGTAGTCCGAGTCGATGGCGGAGGGTGTGGGCAGGCTGATCTCCATCGGGTACTTCTCCAGGATCTCCTGCATCTCTTGCTCCACACTCTCCTGCCAGGTGATCAGGTCGCTCTGCAGGCTCCGCGCCCCCTCCAGAACCCTGTCTTGTCGGCTCCCCAGGCCAGACAGGAGGTCCAGGTTCTGGTAGACCTGGGCCAGGGCGGGGCTGGAGGTGGAAGGACCGTGGGCAGGGTCCGTCTGGGGCCAGCTGCTTTCCACCTCAGGCCTGCGAGGGGAGGCCTGGCCCGACATGTAGCGCTCAAAGTCCTCAGGGTCCAAGTTGAGAGACTGGGCGTCCAGTTTCTCGATGAAGGCAACTGCACAGCACTAAACAGAGAGAGGACACAGGAGGTGAGCTATGAACAAAAAGAGTGTGTGCTTTGTTCTCATCAACTTGGTGTGGGCATGAGGGAGTGGTGTGAGGTGGCACAGAGACACTTACCAAGTTAGTAAAGTAGTATCCGTCTTCTCCAGTCATGAGCCTGCTGGGGTTGCAGAAGCGGGTGATGTACTGGATGTTGGACTGCAGGCGTGGAGGGTTGGCCTTCAGCACGATGTAGATTAGGGTGGGCAGGAAGTCGTCGGCCGAGGCTGGCTCGCTCTTGGTGATCTTGATTGCACTGAAGATGTGCTTGCTGCAGCGCGTGATGCACTCTAGCTTGTCCCGGGGTACCCGTTTGGAGTCCATCTCGATGACATCTGACGCGACACACACAATTCACAATCCTGTCCACACTAATAAGATTTCATTTACAGAGTTTATGAATGTTTGTACAACCGACTTATAGCATACTAAGGCAACACATTGCAGTGTCCTCTGACCACACTACCCATGTTTTGGTTGAGTCCTAATGCGGTCCAGTGTGACACCATCCATAACTCACCTGTTATGGCTTTGACCACGTTGTCTGAAACCTCTGGGATCTCCTCATCCACTGGCACACAAAGCATCTGAATGTCCACCCAGTGTAACGCCCTGTACAACACACAGTGTGGTGGGTGAGAGTGAGACACCCACAGGGACACAAACAGGGACGCAAAACACCCACAGTGACAAACTCCCACGTGCCACCAACACCCACAGAGATAGACACGCAAAGGGGCATTACCACCCACAGTGATATAGTCACATAATTGCATGCATCTCTCTGTCCACAGTGGCAAATATCCCAAAACACATAAACACATAGATTAAACTGCCTGTCCTCAGACAGGATATGGTAGTTCTTACCGTATCCGGTTCTGAGTGGCCAGGTCTTTCTTCTCATCATCTGTGGTCTCGGGGCAGAACACACTCTTATACAGGCGAGTCATAATGTACTTCTCCACCTCGTCCATCACTCGCTCCACACGCTCTGAAGAGCCTGGAGGCAAAAGACACCCCATGAGGCTTTACTTTAGTCTTCATTACATCTAGCTTACATATAAACATTGTACAGGTTGTACATTGTACTATGGTAAAGTACCTTAGCTGTATGCCTATGTAGCACAGAGTGAGGAACAGATGAGTCATGGCAAACATATCCTAAACATCAAAGATCACAAAGTATCTATTTGGTCTAAAGGCCTGAAATCTCACAAACACGTTTCCCATATCAGTCAATGAGGACCAAGAGATAGGACTTTAGCCTTCGATATGAGAGAAAGGATTTAGAGTCAGTAGGCTTATCAATGTCATTCCTTTTATCCTCACTGGCCTCTTGGTGAAGTGCTTAGACCTCACTTGTATTAGTGTCAGAGGCATAGGCAGAAATTGCTGTGTGGCTGGGCCTGAGTAAAAGTGACTGGGTCAACATTTTCTAGTAAAAATACCCAGACATCAGTAGTGTAGTTGTGGTGTATGGAGAAGTACAGTGGGGAGAACAAGTACTTGATACACTGCCGATTTTGCAGGTTTTCCTACTTACAAAGCATGTAGAGGTCTGTCATTTTTATCATAGGTACACTTCAACTGTGAGAGACGGAATCTAAAACAAAAATCCGGAAAATCACATTGTATGATTTTTTTGTAATTAATTTGCATTTTATTGCATGACATAAGTATTTGATACATCAGAAAAGCAGAACTTAATATTTGGTACAGAAACCTTTGTTTGCAATTACAGAGATCATACGTTTCCTGTAGGTCTTGACCAGGTTTGCACACACCTGCAGCAGGAATTTTGGCCCACTCCTCCATACAGACCTTCTCCAGATCCTTCAGGTTTTGGGGCTGTCGCTGGGCAATACAGACTTTCAGCTCCCTCCAAAGATTTTCTATTGGGTTCAGGTCTGGAGACTGGCTAGGCCACTCCAGGACCTTGAGATGCTTCTTACGGAGCCACTCCTTAGTTGCCCTGGCTGTGTGTTTCGGGTCGTTGTCATGCTGGAAGACCCAGCCACAACCCATCTTCAATGCTCTTACTGAGGGAAGGAGGTTGTTGGCCAAGATCTCGCGATACATGGCCCCATCCATCCTCCCCTCAATACGGTGCAGTCGTCCTGTCCCCTTTGCAGAAAAGCATCCCCAAAGAATGATGTTTCCACCGCCATGCTTCACGGTTGGGATGGTGTTCTTGGGGTTGTACTCATCCTTCTTCTTCCTCCAAACACGGCGAGTGGAGTTTAGACCAAAAAGCTCTATTTTTGTCTCATCAGACCACATGACCTTCTCCCATTCCTCCTCTGGATCATCCAGATGGTCATTGGCAAACTTCAGACGGGCCTGGACATGCGCTGGCTTGAGCAGGGGGACGTTGCGTGCGCTGCAGGATTTTAATCCATGACGGCGTAGTGTGTTACTAATGGTTTTCTTTGAGACTGTGGTCCCAGCTCTCTTCAGGTCATTGACCAGGTCCTGCCGTGTAGTTCTGGGCTGATCCCTCACCTTCCTCATGATCATTGATGCCCCACGAGGTGAGATCTTGCATGGAGCCCCAGACCGAGGGTGATTGACCGTCATCTTGAACTTCTTCCATTTTCTAATAATTGCGCCAACAGTTGTTGCCTTCTCACCAAGCTGCTTGCCTATTGTCCTATTGCCCATCCCAGCCTTGTGCAGGTCTACAATTTTATCCCTGATGTCCTTACACAGCTCTCTAGTCTTGGCCATTGTGGAGAGTTTGGAGTCTGTTTGATTGAGTGTGTGGACAGGTGTCTTATACAGGTAATGAGTTCAAACAGGTGCAGTTAATACAGGTAATGAGTGGAGAACAGGAGGGCTTCTTAAAGAAAAACTAACAGGTCTGTGAGAGCCGGAATTCTTACTGGTTGGTAGGTGATCAAATACTTATGTCATGCAATAAAATGCAAATTAATTACTTAAAAATCATACAAATGTGATTTTCTGGATTTTTGTTTTAGATTCCGTCTCTCACAGTTGAAGTGTACCTATGATAAAAAATTACAGACCTCTACATGCTTTGTAAGTAGGAAAACCTCCAAAATCGGCAGTGTATCAAATACTTGTTCTCCCCACTGTAGGTATATTCTAATTTTGCCAAGAATTCCCAAATGGCCTGCCTGGCGAATGAAAGTTACCCTGTGTGAAAAATATGAGAAACGGATGTAGGCTACTCTGAATGACCTAAAAGCATGGCAATGTGAAACACATCAACCATGATATCCAGAATTAAATAATAGGCCTAGCCCTTATGGCTGATATGTTAGGCTAAGGGACAAGATAAGGGTGGCAGTAAGACATTGAACAGATTTCTGTGGTGGTGTACCTACACTTCAAAGCAGCTGAAGGCTTGGATGCTAGTCGCTGCTGATTCATCTATGTATTGTGAGTTTTGCTAGAGGAGATTTATGAGTTACAAAAAAAGGCCTAGGCTACATTCAATTCCATACACCATGGTTTCCACATACAGTGCATTCGGAAAGTATTCAGACCCCTTCCCTTTTTCCACATTTTGTTACGTTACAGCCTTATTCTAAAATGGATTAAATAAATAAAGATTCTCATCAATCTCACACATTACCCTATATTGGCAAAGCGAAAACAGTTTAAAAAAAATTGTTTGCAAATGTATTACAAATAAAAAACAGAAATACCTTATTTACATAAGTATTCAGACCCTTTGCTATGAGACTCGAAATTGAGCTCAGGAGCATCCTGTTTCCATTGATCGTCCTTGAGATGTTTCTACAACTTGATTGGAGTCCACCTGTGGTAAATTCAATTGATTTGACATGATTTGGAAAGGCACACACCTGTCTATATAAGGTCCCACAGTTGACAGTGCATGTCAGAGCAAAAACCAAGCCATGAGGTCGAAGGAATTGTCCGTAGAGCTCCGCGACAGGATTGTGTCGAGGGAAGGGTACCAAAAAATTTCTGCAGCATTGAAGGTCCCCAAGAACACAGTAGCCTCCATCATTTTTAAATGGAAGAAGTTTGGAACCATCAAGACTCTTCCTAGAGCTGGCCGCCCGGCCAAACTGAGCAATCGAGGGAGAAGGGCCTTGGTCAGGGAGGTGACAAAGAACCCGATGTTCACTCTGTGGAGATGGGAGAACCTTCCAGAAGGACAACCATCTCTTCAGCACTTTATGGTAGAGTGGCCCAACGGAAGCCATTCCTCAGTAAAAGGCACATGACAGCCCACTTGGAGTTTGCCAAAAGGCACCTAAAGGATTCTCAGACCATGAGAAACAAGATTCTCTGGTCTGATGAAACCAAGATTGAACTCTTTGGCCTGAATGCCAAGTGTCACGTCTGGAGGAAACCTGGCACAATCCCTACGGTGAAGCATGGTGGCAGCATCATGCTGTGGGGATGTTTTTCAGCGGCAGGGACTAAGAGACTAGTCAGGATCGAGGGAAAGATGAACGGAGCAAAGTACAGAGAGATCCTTGATGAAAACCTGCTCCAGAGTGCTTAGGACCTCAGACTGGGGCAAAGGTTCACCTTCCAACAGGACAACGACCCTAAGCACACAGCCAAGACAACACAGGAGTGGCTTCAGGACAAGTCTCTGAATGTCCTTGAGTGGCCCAGCCAGAGCCCGGACTTGAACCCGATCGAACATCTCTGGAGAGACCTGAAAATAGCTGTGCAACGACGCTCCCTATCCAACCTGACCGAGCTTGAGAGGATATGCAGAGAAGACTGGGAGAAACTCCCCAAATACAGGTGTGCCAAGCTTGTAGCATCATACTCAAGAAGACTCGAGGCTGTAATCGCTGCCAAAGGTACTTCAACAAAGTACTGAGTAAAGGGTCTGAATACCTTTTGTAAATGTGATATTTCAGTTTTTAATTTTTTATATATACACATTTGCAAAAATGTCTAAACTTGTTTTTGCTTTGTCATTATGGGGTATTGTGTGTAAAACAATTTAAATCAATTTTAGAATAAGGCTGTGATGTAAAACAAAATGTGGAAAAAGTCAAGGGGTCTGAATACTTTCCAAATGCACTGTATTTCTACCCTAATATGACTATTCTTGTATAACTTTTCTAGGCTGTATTCTTTGCCACATGATTTCTGTAGGCCTAGGCTATATCGTCTATAAAGGAAATGGTGATCGCTACAGGATTGAGTCAGGGCCTAAACATCACAGCCTGTCCCTAAAGCTCTTCTATGGAGAAGCAAAACAAAGAGGCTAAACTGTAGAACTCATGAGACATGGGAATAAATGCACAATTCTCGTTGTGAATGCAAATATCAGAAGTCAGAGCGGAGCGGAGCTGTCCGTTGCTGAAATATTTTATCCTACTTTCACAGGCTCAGCCAGCGCCGGCCATGTTGCATTACCTGTCCGTGGTGCTGAATGATATAGGCCTATGCCAGGGCTCTCCAACCCTGTTCCTGGAGAGCTACCGTCCTGTAGGTTTTCACTCCAACCCTAATTTAGCGCACCTGGCAATCGCATGATTTCTCAATTGTACTACATAATTGACACGCCGTAAAACTTCACTCCACTACTTTGGATATGCATCAGCTGGGATTAAGAAGTGAGTATATGTAATGACCACTGATAAAAGGTGGGTATAACCTCCACTACACCACTGACCGACATATTTAAGTGAACTTTTGTGCAACCACATTGCATCATTTAACACATAACACGGGATGTGACCAAAAAACTCAAATTTCCCTTGACAAACAAGTAGATGGGCACTTGCGCTAATAACTACACAACATCACCACTGACAAAACAGGCTGACTGTCAGAGTCCGACAGTAAATAAATATATTGAAATACACAACATGTCTATCACCTACATATTCCGAAAGAGAGCGAGAAAGAGAGATTCTAAAGTGCAGTGATAAAATTAGAAAATGATAGGCCTACTGTAAAGAAATACGGATAATGGATTAAGTGTTCAGTCCGACCGTCCAACCTCATGAAATAATCAACCTATTATCAGATCTCCTACTCAAAGGAGCGATCTAGGATTGGAATTTGCGCAAATAGCTTATTGCACTACTGCACAAAGAAGCAAGGAAGAATGCCCGGAAAAGGGTTTTCACTTAGCCCAAAAGTGCACACTTTTTGCCATATGAAAACAGCCACACTCAATACAATACAAACACTTTAGGCCTATATCTTGAACTGTACGGCGGGTATGAAATGAATACCTCACTTTAAATAAGCAAACGCTACTGTAGGCATTCAAGCATGAAAACATGAAATCATCATACATTGCCTAATATCACGGTGGGTAGCTCACTTTGAATCAAACAAATATAGGCCTTGCCTACCAAGGCAGGCATGAAAACATTAGGCTAAATCATAAATAAACAGTCATTCTGAATTGTGTTTCACGTTTTACAGCACAAGACATAGACGCCTAGGCTTGGTGTTGAAGATGTAGATTATTTCATCACAGACCAAAGAGTCACAGAGTTCCCTTTCAAAGGACAACAGGGCTAAATTGTTCAGATGTACAGTCAGCATGCAAGATCTGATGGATGTTTTGATATGGCCTGTAGTGGGGAATAGTGTCTCAACAGTAGGCCTACATGAAGGCATAAGAAGGGTGATGATGGCCCTTAGTAGTCTATTGATGTTAAGGAAAATGTCAGGGCTGCAGCAGTCCTAAACTTCAATAAAGGGATGGGATTCCTGACCTCCCCAACGAAGGTGCTTCCAATCCTTATATTCTTCTCTAACAAAGGAGCCTTCCATAGCGGCCTTGGGAAAATGTGTACAAGTTCTACAGAAAACAGTGTCCCTTGTCGAACTGTATACCAGCCAAAAAAACAGTCCTTTGTTTTGCCATAACTTGTGACTAGCTAGCTAGTGCTATTTCAAATTAGCAAAGAATTGCAGAGGTTCAAAACAATTTGCCCCCTTCACGACTGTGTTGTGTAATGGACCATGATAGGACACCGAGGAACTTGAAGCTCTCTACCTGCTTCACTACAGCCCCTCTGTTTCCTGTAGTCCACAATCAGCTCCTTTGTCTTGCTGGTGTTGAGGGAGAGGTTGTTGTCCTGGCACCACACTACCAGGTCTCTGACCTCCTCCCTATTGTCTGTCTCATCGTCATTGGTGATCAGGCCTACCACCGTTGTGTCATCGGTAAACTTAATGATGGTGTTGGAGTTGTGCTCGGCCACTCAGTCATGGGTGAACAGGGAGTACAGGAGGGGACTAAGCACGCACACACTCCATTTATTTAATTTAGAATTTTATATTTTAAGCCATCCTGATTGGGTGGGCCAGTGTTCAATCTGGCAGGGCCTCGGCCTGGCCTGGCCCTGTTGTGGCTTCGCCTCTGAATAGTGTGCTTGCTGAAAGCAAGACCACTCTAGCACTCTTACATACTTATTTTTATTTGCTTTCTTCCGCCCGCTCTAGCGCTTAAACCGCTTAAGTTATCAAATATGCAGACTGACCCAACTTAGATTGCTTTTTGATACTATTTATAGTACAACCATATTTGCATAAAACACCATTCATTTCAATGGCCATAGACTTGAATGGTAAAAAATCGTACAATTCTAGACGCTACTCCTCTTTAAAAGTTTAAGTTATCAATTCCAAACCAAAGTTGAAATGTGCAGACTGACTCAAATTAGGGTACTTGCATACAGACTATTTATACTTTATAAATAGTTTATGCATACTTTTATGTAAAACACAATTTTAAATGGGTTTGAATGACAGCCATCGGAATACAGTGGTAGCTATCCAAAATGGTCCTGCCCCTTGGCCATTTAAGCTACAAGACCAACTTTAAAACGTTCAGGCTATCCTCACTTCAAATTCTCTCAAACCTTAATAAACCTTACTTTTTTTTGGGGGGGGGGGGGGGGGGTATAAATTACCATGAACCTTTATGGATTCAATGCCAACCATAAGAACACAGTGGTAGACATTTCAAATACTACTGCTCTTTAACCATTTCAGCTACAAACAAACATTATAACAACTAACATTTAAAAAAAGGCTTTAGCAGTAGCTAATAGGGATCCTAATAAAATACTAAATAACCCACCAACAATAATAGTAACTCTTGAACCATTCAAGCTAGAGACACCAACCCAACTTTCACATGTTCAGGCTATTCTATTCTATCCTATCAATCAATTGATCCTTCAAGACAAGCTTGCAAGCACACACTTCAGGAAAATGTTTCTAGTTACAGTAGATATTGGTAGATATTTCTATTTGCAAATAAAACCAAAGGCATTTGGTAAGCCGAAAAGACCAACAGAACACTTTATTGTGCAGTAGAACACACTATTCTCAGTTAGTTGAAACAACACATGTTTAGTCCATTTTTGTGAATCTAACAAATGCATTGTATTTACATTTTTGTGATGCATTTTGTACAGTGTGAGTTGTTGTATCCCTTTTTGGCAGGTTGCGTCATCATTCGATGACGTGGATGTCGATTAAGGCAGCCCCCCACACCTCTCTGATTCTGAGGGGTTGGGTTAAATGCGGAAGAGACATTTCAGTTGAATGCCTTCAGTTGTACAACTGACTAGGTATCCCCCTTTCCATTTCCTTTCATTCTTAATGTTGTTTGAACGCACCTTTAAAATGAGTCATGAGGCGGTCGGACAGGTTCTGGTAGAAGTCTTGGACACACTCAGACAGCTCGTCAGCACTCAAGTCCTGAGAAGTCAGAGGTCAAAGGTAATCCCAGGTATTTGTCAATCAGGAACTATATACCATAACAACTTAACATAGACAAAATTGCATGTTCCAGACAATATGTGTGACAGCTTGAAATAACTTTCTTACCTCATTACAACAGCTGTTTTTACTCTCTTCTACAATAGATATACCATAGACAAAAGGGCTTTATACTGAAGGAAATTATACAGACACGGTTCTGTAAAACGATGTAGAACAGAACTACTGATTGTGAGAATGGCTACTACTGTAACAATACATTCTTGTCTAGCCAATAAATCAATAAAATCAATAACTTTTTCAAACAAGAGAACCTTGGAGTGTTTTGCCATATAAAATAGCAATATTTAATTACAAAACATACACATAAAAGCTATTCTTTCATTTGTCTTTTTCAGGGCTGACCTTTGTTGAAAGAACAGAAATACCTACACACAGTTGTATACAGTGGGGAAAAAAAGTATTTAGTCAGCCACCAATTGTGCAAGTTCTCCCACTTAAAAAGATGAGAGAGGCCTGTAATTTTCATCATAGGTACACGTCAACTATGACAGACAAATTGAGCATTTTTTTTCCAGAAAATCACATTGTAGGATTTGTAATGAATTTATTTGCAAATTATGGTGGAAAATAAGTATTTGGTCACCTACAAACAAGCACGATTTCTGGCTCTCACAGACCTGTAACTTCTTCTTTAAGAGGCTCCTCTGTCCTCCACTCGTTACCTGTATTAATGGCACCTGTTTGAACTTGTTATCAGTATAAAAGATACCTGTCCACAACCTCAAACAGTCACACTCCAAACTCCACTATGGCCAAGACCAAAGAGCTGTCAAAGGACACCAGAAACAAAATTGTAGACCTGCACCAGGCTGGGAAGACTGAATCTGCAATAGGTAAGCAGCTTGGTTTGAAGAAATCATCTGTGGGAGCAATTATTAGGAAATGGAAGACATACAAGACCACTGATAATCTCCCTCGATCTGGGGCTCCACGCAAGATCTCACCCCGTGGGGTCAAAATGATCACAAGAACGGTGAGCAAAAATCCCAGAACCACACGGGGGGACCTAGTGAATGACCTGCAGAGAGCTGGGACCAAAGTAACAAAGCCTACCATCAGTAACGCACTACGCCGCCAGGGACTAAAATCCTGCAGTGCCAGACGTGTCCCCCTGCTTAAGCCAGTACATGTCCAGGCCCGTCTGAATTTTGCTAGAGTGCATTTGGATGATCCAGAAGATGATTGGGAGAATGTCATATGGTCAGATGAAACCAAAATAGAACTTTTTGGTAAAAACTCAACTCGTCGTGTTTGGAGGACAAAGAATGCTGAGTTGCATCCAAAGAACACCATACCTACTGTGAAGCATGGGGGTGGAAACATCATGCTTTGGGGCTGTTTTTCTGCAAAGGGACCAGGACGACTGATCCGTGTAAAGGAAAGAATTAATGGGGCCATGTATCGTGAGATTTTGAGTGAAAACCTCCTTCCATCAGCAAGGGCATTGAAGATGAAACGTGGCTGTGTCTTTCAGCATGACAATGATCCCAAACACACCGCCCGGGCAACGAAGGAGTGGCTTCGTAAGAAGCATTTCAAGGTCCTGGAGTGGCCTAGCCAGTCTCCAGATCTCAACCCCATGGAAAATCTTTGGAAGGAGTTGAAAGTCCGTGTTGCCCAGCGACAGCCCCAAAACATCACTGCTCTAGAGGAGATCTGCATGGAGGAATGGGCCAAAATACCAGCAACAGTGTGTGAAAACCTTGTGAAGACTTACAGAAAACATTTGACCTGTGTCATTACCAACAAAGGGTATATAACAAAGTATTGATAAACTTTTGTTATTGACCAAATACTTATTTTCCACCATAATTTGCAAATAAATTCATTAAAAATTCTACAATGTGATTTTCTGGAAATTTCTTTCTCATTTTGTCTGTCATAGTTGACGTGTACCTATGATGAAAATTACAGGCCTCTCTCATCTTTTTAAGTGGGAGAACTTGCACAATTGGTGGCTGACTAAATACTTTTTTTCCCCACTGTATCCCCCCATACCCATATAGTTTATTGAAAAGTTTCAGGTGGATGAAGACCTTCTGTTCGAAATGTTGCAATAATTTACACACAAGCATAAATTGTGCAGGTACAGTTGAAGTCGGAAGTTTACATACACATAGGTTGGAGTCATTAAAACTTGTTTTTCATTAAAACTTGTTTTTCAACCACTCCACAAATGTCTTGTTAACAAACTATAGTTTTGGCAAGTCAGTTAGGACATCTACTTTCTGCATGACAAGTAATTTATCCAACAATTGTTTACAGACAGATTATTTCACTTATAATTCACTGTATCACAATTCCTGTGGGTCAGAAGTTTACATACACTAAGTTGACTGTGCCATTTAAACAGCTTGGAAAATTCCAGAAAATGATGTCATGGCTTTAGAAGCTTCTGATAGGCTAATTGACATCATTTGTGTCAATTGGAGGTGTACCTGTGGATGTATTTCAAGGCCTACCTTCAAACTCAGTGCCTCTTTGCTTGACATCATGGGAAAATCAAAAGAAATCAGCCAAGACCTCAGAAAGATTTGTAGACCTCCACAAGTCTGGTTCATCCTTGGGAGCAATTTCCAAACGCCTGAAGGTACCACGTTCATCTGTACAAACAATAGTATGCAAGTATAAACACCATGGGACCACGCTGCCGTCATACCGCTCAGGAAGGAGACGCGTTCTGTCTCCTAGAGATGAACATACTTTGGTGCGAAAAGTGCAAATCAATCCCACAACAACAGCAAAGGATCTTGTGAAGATGGAGGAAACAGGTACAAAAGTATCTATATCCACAGTAAAACGAGTCCTATATTGACATAACTTGAAAGGCCGCTAAGCAAGGAAGAAGCCACTGCTCCAAAACCGCCATAAAAAAGTCCAGACTACGGTTTGCAACTGCACATGGGGACAAAGATCGTACTTTTTGGAGAAATGTCCTCTGGTCTGATGATACAAAAATAGAACTGTTTGGCCATAATGACCATCATTATGTTTGGAGGAAAAAGGGGTACGCTTGCAAGCCGAAGAACACCATCCCAACCGTGAAGCACGGGAGTGGCAGCATCATGCTGTGGGGGTGCTTTGCTGCAGGAGGGACTGGTGGACTTCACAAAATAGATGGCATCATGAGGAAGGAAAATGATGTGGATATATTGAAGCAACATCTCAAGAAATCAGTCAGGAAGTTAAAGCTTGGTCGCAAATGGGTCTTCCAAATGGACAATGACCCCAAGCATACTTCCAAAGTTGTGGCAAAATGGCTTAAGGACAACAAAGTCAAGGTATTGGAGTGGCCATCACAAAGCCCTGACCTCAATCCTATAGAAAATGTGTGGGCAGAACTGAAAATGCGTGTGTGAGCAAGGAGGCCTACAAACCTGACTCAGTTACACCAGCTCTGTCAGGAGGAATGGGCCAAAATTCACCCAACTTATTGTGGGAAGCTTGTGGAAGGCTACCCGAAACATTTGACCCAAGTTAAACAATTTAAAGGCAATGCTACCAAATACTAATTGAGTGTATGTAAACTCCTGACCCACTGGGAATGTGATGAAAGAAATAAAAGCTGAAATAAATAATTCTCTCTACTATTATTCTGACATTTCACATTCTTAAAATAAAGTGGTGATTCTAACTGACCTAAGACAGGGAATTTTTACTAGGATTAAATGTCAGGAATTGTGAAAAACTGAGTTTAAATGTATTTGGCTAAGGTGTATGTAAACTTACGACTTCAACTGTATATATATTCCTTTTTTTATTTGATTTTTTAGGGGGTAGATCAGCTTTAATATTGTAACTTCCATCAATGTAATTGTCTGCATCACTTCCAATCCCCCATATGTTTTTTTGTTTTTTTCCCTCGCATATATATATATATACACACACATACATACATATACATACATTCCCTTTAAAAATATATATATTTCCCTTTATTACTTTCCAACCCCACCATCCCTTATTGGAGTAAACTAGTGAACAACAATGCTTAGGCCTCTACTTCATGCTTATACATACTATATACATTTTATGGACACAGTCAATAATTATATTTTGTTTGTTTTTACTCCTGAACTTCCTCCGATCATTTTCATGATGTCCATCTGGTATGCTTCTATATGCCATATCTTTCTAACTGTGCTCTTTCACAAAAGCTCACAATATATAACCTATATACTTATTATGGACACAGCATGTCTTACACTAGTTATCTTGTTGCTATTAGTTGTTGTTATTAGTCCCATCCTTCAGCTCCATTCAACACCTCCCATCTATCTCTTAACACCATCCATATTGGATTTCTATTTGCCATATATTTTTCAACTGTACTGTGATGTTTTACAAAAGTTCTGAGCCTTTCTATTCTCATTGTTTCTACAGTTTGTGAATTGAAAATAAACATTTTTGCTAAAAGTATTATTATATTATTGATCGATTGACTATGACTTTTCAGATCACCCAGTAGTGCTATCTGCAGGGTCAGCTCCATGCAAATATTGCAATCCTTCAGCCATTCCTGGACCTGTGTCCAGAAACAAGCTACAAATGGACAGTATCAAAACAAATGATCTAATGATTCTGTCTCTTCACAGCCAAATCTGCAGAGCTGGAAAGATTGTATCCCCCATACAAATCACATTCTAATGGTAGCAAGAATTTTATATAATAATTTAAATTGAAAATTTTGAAGTTTTGTATCCGGCGTCGTTTTGCGTATCAGTTCATAAACACTATGCCATGGAATCTGTACGTCAAAAATCTCTTCCCAACTATTTTGCAATCTATATGGGACGGCTGTCAATCTTTTGGTCCTTAACTGAAACTGGTAAACCTTTTTTATTTATCACAATTTTCTTTAACCAATTATGTTCTTTAATGCAAGGCCAACAGACAAGTTCCTAACTTTTTCCTCCTTCCACTTTCCTCTTCCATTTTTGCAGTAATGCTGCAATTATTTGGTTGTAATTTTGGGTAGAGCAGACATTTCCATATGTTTTTGTTAGCTGCACCATTCCTACCAATAATCTCATTTACGAAGATTATAGCTTTTTTTTGTTGTTGATTTTCTCAAAAAATTACGTTTTTTTAATCAATTAGTATATTTGAGTTTACCCACAATATTTCTTGCAATATTTGTTCTGTCATTTCTGTAGAATTAAATTGAAATTGCAACCAACTTTCTATGGCTTGTTTTAGAAATAGTGATATTTGGGAGATGATTTCCTTTTCAAATACCTGAAAGTGAGGGGTTGTAATCTGAATAAAGGGAAAAAGTCCCTTCTTGAACATTGGGTGAGACTATCTTACTAGTTTGCTAAAGAACCAGTTCGGATTTAAGTATAATTTTTGTATGACTGAAGCTTTTAGTGATAGGTCTAATGCTTTAATATTTAATAATTTCTGTCCTCCTAATTCATATTCATTATATAAATAGGCCTGTTTAATTTTGTCTGGCTTGCCGTTCCAAATAAAATGGAATATTTTTTTCTACTATAATTTTAAAAACTGTATATCTATTCCTTTCAGATTATATTGTTTTGTATCCTGCATGTGGAAAATCAATGAATGAGCATTCACAGACTCGTTTTCAACTGACCTTTTTGTTGGCCATGATCTCGATGAAGGCTCGGCTCTGCTTGTGGACCTCACGGCCGGGCTTATGCACGGTCTTCAGGAAGTCCACAAAGTCTCTGGAGACGCGGTCCGTCTCGATGCTTGACTGGCGGCTGATGGAGGGGCTGGGGGTCTTGCCCTCCTGGTTCTCTGATGGGGGGGACACTATGACTTGTGTTACTCTTAATGTTACGCCATGCCTTCCTCTTCATGGTTGCTCTCGCAAACTGACTGAGCCTCAGGTAAAGAAGGTAAACTGTCAGAAGTGTGCATCTTTACATATGAGCTGAGAAGAGGTCAGGAAAACAGACCCAAATATGAAATCATCAGTATTGCGTCACAACTTCAAATAAACCGATTATTTAGACCTGTTGGGACTTTCAGTGGACTATAAGGGACACTGTCAGTTTTGTCTATTCTGTAGAAGTGTATCTACAACTAAAGAGAAAATGACAGACAACCACCTCTGAGTCTTGCCACCAGTGCTGCCAGTATAATGACCATACGCAAGAGGGGGACAGTGAGATAATGAACGTTATGAGCAACATGAAAAGGGGACTGTTGTTGAACACACACAGATGCACACTACACATCAAACAAACTCAAAACCAACCGGAGCAGCGGAGTCAGTTTGATGGACAGGTCTCTCAGCCAATCAGACTGAGCAAGTGCCACTATGGTGAGATTATTGGTACATCTTAATGCTACCTGATTGGAGGGTAATTATAAGTCAACTACACTAGTTAAGCCCTTATGGGTTCCTAGTTGGTTTTAAAACTACAGGGATTAAAATGGGGGCGCTATCCAATGCAAATCTCCTCTGCAATGGTAGGAATGATTACCTTCAGTGGGAGAGCCCATTTCCCAAGGGGGAGTAAACATTCCTCTCCAGTCCCTGAGGCCTGTCATCTTCTCCTCTCCCACAGTGGGGGCTGAGAATGAGATGGTAGGGCCAAGTGGGGCCGCAGGGCACGGGGAACGGGGGTGAAGGGTGCCAGAATGGCATACAAGCGAGAATGAGTAGATGGGATTTGAGAGAGGTGGGTGAAGGTGGAATGGGTATGGAGAATAATGGACGACAATAAATTAATAAATTCATGAATTCATGGATCAACAAACAATGGCGATGACAGATAAGTGTGGAATGAGGGGATCAGACAAGAGAGGGAGAAGGAGGGGGGTTGTTTGGTTTGGGACCATTCTGTTATGATGAGAGCGGGTATCAATGAGATAGAAGGGGTTGGAAAGGATATGGAAAACGGTTAAAAACATGACCTAAGACTCAATGACTGTCAACCATGATCCCCACACTAAGATTAGGCAGAGGGCACCTATTTTTTTTTTCTGAAGAAAAAATATTGAACTCCGCAAAAATAAAGGAACTTTTACGTTTGCACATTGTTCTCAATACCCTTGGGGCCATTGTACAGATAGGAGCGAGGGGAGCTTGCCTAACAGTGAGGCTCGTAGAGGGTATCACTTAATACACCTGGCTATAATAGGCTTGGTGGGCACAGAATACCTTCAATCACCATCATGCCCCGTCATGCCCTGCTTTAGAGCCTCCGGGGATCACCTCCAAAGAAGTGAGCTGATGAGACAAGTATTAGGCTGATACGCCGGGGTGGAAAGTGTGTGTGTGTGTGTGTGTGTGTGTGTCAAAAACTGCACTGGACAAATGCCAGTCAGTACCTTTCTTGGGGGCTGTCCGTGACGAGGGACTAAAAAACTTCTTCACAGTGGTCACCTTGCGCGTCTTCTCGTTGGTCTTCTTCTCCTCGAACTTGGAGAAGGGCACCAGAGAGGCCTGGGGCTGGGACGGGGGCTGAGACTGGGCCCCCTGAATGCTGGCATAGGCAACCTCCTCCTCCCTCTGCAGCCTGAGGTAGACCAGGGGGAACAACTGGTGATTAGACTGTTTAACTTGAGGCAATTACTTTTAACAAACAATACAAACCGCTGGTGTTGTGTTTTAATTACCATGTCATAGGCAGCACGGGAATAGGTTAGGGTATAGGCGCGTCCAATATGCTAAGCTTCCCCTAAAGTAAATTGAATTTGCCAAAATTATATAATTACTCCTGTCTATACAAAAATACATTCCTTCTAAACACTACACCAGAGAGCATGATTTTGCCACTTTAAAAAAAATAGCTGTGGATTGTTTTAAATGGAAATTTCACCGCTGCTCTTTCACTGTACGTGTCCAATAATGTGTTATTAACATACACTACCAGTCAAAAGTTTGGACACACCTACTCATTCAAGGGTTTTTCTTTATTTTTACTATTTTTTACATTGTAGAATAATAGTGAAGATATCAAAACTATGATATAACACATATGGAATCATGTAGTAACCAAAGAAGTGTTAAACAAATCAAAATATATCAAATAGCCACCCTTTGCCTTGATGACAGCTTTGCACACTCTTGGCATTCTCTCAACCAGCTTCATGAGGTAGTCACCTGGAATGCATTTCAATTAACAGGTGCCTTCTTAAAAGTTAATTTGTGGAATGTCTTTCCTTCTTAATGTGTTTGAGCCAATCAGTTGTGTTGTGACAAGGTGGGGGGGGGGGGGGGGGGGGGGGGGGGGGGGGGGTATACAGAAGATAGCCCAAGTCCATATTATGGCAAGAACAGCTCAAATAAGCAAAGAGAAACGACAGTCCATCATTACTTTAAGACATGAAGGTCAGTCAATACGAAACATTTCAAGAACTTTGAATGTTTCTTCAAGTGCAGTCGCAAAAACCATCAAGCGCTATGATGAAACTGGCTCTCATGAGGACCACCACAGGAAAGGAAGACCCAGAGTTACCTCTGCTGCAGATGATAAGTTTATTAGACCAGCCTCAGAAATTGCAGCCCAAATAAAGTGAGATGTTACCCACTCAAGACAGCAGTGGCAGCTGTACAGATAACTCATCCAAAGGGCTTTGCCTTCTCAAACACGGTAGAAAGCTAACACTATATGATGCCCTGTCTCCTTATTAATTCAGCCACTTCCTTCGTTTAGATAACTAGCAAGTTAAACGTAGGGGTCGCATCAACGCAGAATTCTGAAAATTTCAGGCAGAAAAAATATATAAAAACGCATAAGAAATATCTTGCTGCATTTTGTAAACGCAGATCTAAAATGCTTCTTACTGTAATTTCTGCTCGGCATCAAACCTTATGCTTCGGATGAGAATTCACAAACGGCATTCTATCAGCAGACACCGGTCTGCCTTTTTCTCCTGCATTTTTCTCAGTAGCTAGGTTTCCAACCAATTTGCGACAGATTTTCATGCGAATATTCTAAAATCGGCATAAAACAACATGCACGTGTTTCCATCAAACTGACTTTTTGCGGATAAAAGGCTGTGCGTGATGACGTAATGCACATCAAAATAACTTTTGCAGTTAAATTCCCATGTACCGAATGAAAAATACAAGTTAAATGGGTTTCCATCGCATTTTCAACTCTACTGATGGTTTTGTCACAAACTGTTGAGTTAAATAGCTAATGTGCCCACTCTGGTCTTGGCACATGCGCTCTAGCCAACAGCGCGGTAGGCTACCTACATTATGAGATTATTATGGATAAGAGCGATATTATTTGTATTTGTTAAACGGCAGCCAAGCATCGATCATCATGCCACCAGAATAAGACCCTAAAAATGTATTGGAAAGGAGCATGAAGCTGATCACCTTGTACATTCACCACCCTTTGAATTTTATCATAACTTATTTAATTTGTAGCCTAGTAACTGCATGCTTTCCCCAAGTCGTAGTAGGAGGACCGCACAACATATCATAGTGTGACATTTCTCGCATTATTAATTTCACCGACACAAAAAGATCCCACCATGTCGAACGAACAAATTGTCTGTCGGCATTTATAAAATTGTACCGGCATTTAATATTTCCATCAGCCGGGTCGTGACTTTTTTTATGCGTCAGGTAATTAATTCACATGAAATGGGTGGATGGAAACATGGTTAGTGTAGCCTACTTTTCTCCGGTAAAATGCATGATGAACTTGAAGCAAAACATTAGGAAATGTAGCTGGCTATGATAAACATTAGAAATACCTTTCTTTTTCATTATAAACCCATTTAGCCTACTTGTGTGGCTGTCAGCCAAATAATGTTGCACTTCGGTTGTCATCTCGTGAAAATTAAGGTATTTTCTGCCAAATGTGTTGCACTAATGTATTTTCTGTTAAGGAAAACTATAGTTGCACGCCCCTGATCAATATATTGAAGTAGAAGGAGAAAAAAAGGTCACTACACAGCTGGACTCACCTGCTCCCACTTTCTTCTGTTGTGGTATTTACAAACAAACACGTGACTGGCTCAACTGCTCTGGGGAACTAGGGTAAGCTTCATAATGTAAAATAATGTGAAAGGTGAAATGAAGAATGCAATCTGCTTTATCTCCTAAGGTATTGCACAAGTTGACTGCAGGTATTTAAAAAGTAGCTACAAATATATATATATTTTAAAAAACTTACAAGAAATAGTTAACGGTATTGAAAAAACATCCTGTGACTATTTCCAAATATCCCGGTATACGGTTTATACAGTACACCGCCCAAGCCTAATTGGCACTATAGCGGAGAGCATCGGCCATATCCCCGGTGAGTGCGTATATTCACTGTCTATCATTGGGTGAGTGTGTTCCTGGAATGTTTTTTTAGGAGAATTTCCTCCTCCAAGCTAGACGGACGTCATAGCCTACAATATGTGTCTCCCCTTTTCATAACCGTCGATTAGATGGTTTCATTCAAGACAAGGTCGTTTTTATTGATGTCAGTGTCAGCAGAGTAGCCTTCCCTGTCATTTTTGTGGTATTAAAGATTCTGCTATTGTCTTCAGTCATGAAGAGTAAAGTGTCGTAGAATTGCATGAAATATGTTTATAAAAGGTAAAAAAATTATCGGATCCTCCTTTAAAATGGCCATCTAGCTGGGTCTGAGCTCTGGATGTGTGCACAGAAAGGAGGAGAAAAGCAGAACGGTCTTTTTTTGTGAACAGTGAGTCAGTTATAATATTAGCCTAATTTATGACTATCCAATCTACTCGACACATTAGGAATAGTAGGCTCTCTTGCATTGGTCTGCAAATGTGATACAGTGCCTTCAGAAAGTATTCATACCCCTAGACTTATACCACATTTTGCTGTGTTACAGCCTGAATTCAAAATGGATGAAATATATTTCTCACCCATCTACACACAATACCCCATAATGACAAAATGAAAACATGTTTTTAGAAGAAAAAAATGTAACTGATTGAAAATAAAATACAGAAAGCTCATTAACATAAGTATTCACACCCCTGAGTCAATACTTTGTAGAAGCACCTTTGGCAGCGATTACAGCTTGGAGTCGTCTTGAGTATGTCTGTATCAGCTTTGCACATATGGATTTGGGGATTTTCTCCCATTCTTCCTTGCATATTTTTTTTCATGCTCTGTTAAATTAGATGCGGAGCGGCGCTGAACAGCAATATAAGTCTTTCCACAGATTTTAAATGGGATTCAAGTCTGGGCTTTGGCTGGGCCACTCAAGGACTTACACATTCTTGTTCTGAAGCCATTCCAGTGTTGCTTTGGCTGTATGCTAGGTGTCATTGTCCTGTTGGAAAGAAAATCTTCGCCCCAGTCTGTCTTTTGCAATCTGAAACAGGTTCTCATCAAGGATTTGCCTGTATTTGGCTCCATTCATTGTTCCCTCTATCCTTACCAGTCTCCAAGTCCCTGCATCTGAAAAGCATCCCCATAGCATGATGCTGTCACCACCATGCTTCCTGGTAGGGATGGGGTTAGACGGGTGATGAGCTGTGCCTGGTTTTCGTCAGACATAGCGCTTTGCATTCAGGCCAAACAGTTCAATGTATGTCTCATAAGACCACCGAATCTACGACAGAGCCTGGATTCGAACCAGGATCTCTAGTGGCACAGCTAGCACTGCGATGCAGTGCCTTAGACCACTGCGCCACTCGGGAGACTAAATCATGTCCAAACAATTTAATTGGCCACAGGTGGACTCCAATCAAGTTGTAGTGAAATCTCAAGGATGATCAAAGGAAATGGGATGCACCTGAGCTCAATTTGGAGTGTCATAGCAAAGGGGTGTGAATACTTATGTAAATTAGGTATTTCTGTATTTCATTTTCAATACATTGCTAAGATTTCTAAAAACATATTTTCACTGTCATTATGGGGTATTGTGTGCAAATGGGTACGAAAAAAATATATTTAATCAATTTTGAATTCAGGCTTTAACACAAAATAATTGGAATAAGTAAAAGGGTATGAATACTTTCTGAAGGCACTGTAGATGCATGCAATACTTTATCATAAAGGTGATTTTTTTCTAGCTTCCCCAAACTTGAAACTTACGCGCCGCCTATGCCATGTGTCCATTGTGTCAAGGGAGGGTTGGACAAAGCTAGTACAATTTGGACATTTCTTTAACATCCCAAAACTCTTTCAATTATCATATACAGTGGGTATCATACAGTTGAAGTCAGAGGTTTACATACACTTAGGTTGGTGTCATTAAAACTTGTTTTTCAACCACTCCACAAATGTCTTGTTAACAAACTATAGTTCTGGCAAGTCGGTTAGGACATCTACTTTGTGCATGACAAGTAATTTTTCCAACAAGTGTTTACAGACAGATTATTTCACTTATAATTCACTGTATCACAATTCCAGTGGGTCAGAAGATTACATACACTAAGTTGACTGTGCCTTTAAACAGCATGGAAAATTCCAGAAAATGATGTCATTGCTTTAGAAGCTTCTGGTAGGCTAATTGACATCATTTGAGTCAATTGGAGGTGTACCTGTGGATGTATTTCAAGGCCTACCTTCAAACTCAGTGCCTCTTTGCTTGATAT